GAGAAAGGATAAATAAATCGTAGTAGTGGAATACATTATTCCACGCCACAGAGTATTATACAGCCATGAACATAAATGAATGATAGCTACACAAAACAACATGTGTAGGTCTTAGAAATATCATGTTGAGTAAAAATGGCAAGTTCAAGAAGACATTTATAGTGTGGCACCATTTTTATAAAATTCAAAATATGCACAACGAATAATGTATTAGTTAAGGCTGCATGCCTTTAGGATAAAATCATCTTTTTTAAAAGGCAAGTGATAACTATAAGAAAGCTTATGTTGCTATACTATTATCAAATCAATAGCCTTTAAAAGACTTTGAAACCTCCCAGAGAAACTTGTCACTAGGGACTGAGGGGCATTTTGTAAAAGCAGGCTGCTAGTTCCTCAAAGTGTTACACATGGGGTCTCCACAGGACCCCAGTTGTGGACCCAAGAGAAAACCTAAGCCCACAGAAAACCTTGAACACATATGTTCATGGCAGCATTTTTCATCAGAGCCCAAAGTGGAAACGACCCAAGTGTCCACCATGAATCAACAGGTGAATAAAATGTGGCGTGTCCCCAAAATGGAACATGATTTGGCCGTAAAAAGGAATGAAGAGCTGATCCAGTCTACACCACGGATGAACCGTGAAAACACGGCTGAGTGAAGGGAGCCAGAGAGACCCACGTGTTGTATGATTCCGTTTCTGTGCAACATGGCGAGTGCTGCAGGTCCATGTGTTTGCCCCAGAAGAACCCGCTGGCTGTCCAGTGCTGACCTTCTCTGGGACCAGCATCTCCCTCTCTCTCAAGGACCCGAACGGAAACACAGACCATCGTCCCTCACCCTCTGTCTTTCATTGTGACATTTTCATTCCCCTGAGCAGGAATGAGAGCTGCCGTTGCTCCACACTGGTGCCAGGATTTGATGTCGTCGGTGGTCTGGATTTAAAGCGCTCCCTAGGTGTGTGGTAGTAGCTCACTGATGCTTTAACTTGCCTTGCCCCAGGGACTTGTGATGCGTAGCATCTTTTTGACACGCCTACATGCCATCGGCAGATCTCCTTCGGTGAGGTGTCTGTTTAGGTCTTTTACCAGGGTGAGCTTCTAAAATGTTAAAAATGAAAATGGCTTTATTGCTTTTATTTGTATTATAACAGTGAGACCTATTCCCATTTTGAAATTATGTAAAATAAAGAAGTGAAAAAAATCCCTCCTCCTTTTTTGTCTATATCTTTGTCCTGTTGCCAAGTGATGTTTAAAAAAACAAAGCAAACCATGTTGCTTCCTTGCTTGAAATATGTGAATGGCACCTGCTGGGCTCAGGAGGAAGTTCTAATTCCTTAGCGTGGTTTGCGGGACTGCCTGTAATCTGCCCTCACTTATCTCCGGAGCCTCTTCTCTCACCAGCAACCCACACGAGCTTTGCACGCCATCCCTCCCTGAAGAGGCCACGCTTGCTCATTGACCTGAGCTTATGCTCTTCTCTCTGCCCGAAACTCCCCTCTGCCTTCTCTTCTTCCTGTCTCACTGCCACCTGAGTCTTCAGGCCTCTGCTTAGATGCTTCTTCCTCCAGGAAGCCTTCTCAGATTCCCTTCGACTCCAGAGCTCCCTGCACTTCCCCTGGTCTAGCCCCGGGGGTCGCTCTGTGTGGCAATGACTTCTCCCTCAGAGTAGGGACTCGGCTGGCCCGCATTATATATATTAGTGGGTGGGCTCCACTGTTGGCATGCAAACTTCACGTTTCCTCCCCAAAAAGAGAGTAGATGGAGATAGGAATGATTTTTAACTTGGAGGACAGATCTTACTGACATGCCCTTGAAAGAAGTCTGGGTGCTGTGACTACGGGATGCAAACCATCGCAAGTGTGCGTGAGGCAGACCTGCGCGGACATAGTTAGGTGGCCCCAGCGGCAGGCCATCGCTCAGAGGAGTGGCGTTTCACCTGGGGAAAGAAGCCGCATGTGGAAATATTTGTACAGGATTAAGTTATTTTGGTGTGTATAGATACTGCAAAAACCCTAATTCATGAAAACCCTTCTATGGCATTGATAGAGCTTTAATAAAGAATCCAGCTGAGAACTTTAAATTTCTAAGTTTCTACAAAATTCTCTAGGAAGTCTGCATTCTATATTAAGTGTAGCTGTGTTTAAAATTTTTAATGACTGTGCACAAGAACAAATTAGAAGGTGTCCGATTTTACTGATTTTTTTTTCCTTTTCCCCTAGGAGTCATGCAGTTTGAATTTGTTTTGATTACCCTTGTTGTTGCTATTGTTTTGAACTCATCGAAAGGCACCCCGAGTCCTGGGCACGGCACCTCTGGGGCAGCCGCAGTGGGTGCGGGTGGCGAGGGCCTGGCAGCGGTGCCGGGGGCGTGCCGGACTCCGTGGTGAGTCTCGGACTGAATCCGGCCCTGTCCTGCCTTTTCTGGGGAGTGTTTGGCCAGAATAGTAATTGGGAGGAAGAGGAAGGCATTTCTTGTAAATAAGAAACAAAGACCTCTCAGCACATAACCCTACTTACTTCGACTGTTCCTTGTAAGCAGGGCGCTGACGGAACCATGTTGCCGGGCAGTAGAAAGGCGAAGAGGTCTGGGTCAGGGTCTGGTTCAAAGCCAGACCCCATTAGTATTGCTCTACTCCAGGCTCAGTTTGTCCATCTACAAAATGGGGGTGACCCTAACACTTGTTTCATTGGGTTGCCAGAATCCAATGAAATGATACAAATGAAGGTCTGTGCCAGACCCTGGCCAGATAGCAGATAAGGTGGTTGGACTGTTGTCCCCATGCTCTAAGGCTGCAAGTTCGACCCCAGTCAGGGCACAGAGAAGAATCAACCAACAAATGCATAAATAAGCGCAACAACTCAACGTCTCTCTCTGTCTCTCTCTTTCCCTATTCTCTGTCTCACAAATCAGTAAATAAATAAGGAAATTTTAGAAAGACCTGACCATGTCTTGAGGTTGTGCATTGAACACCTCTCCCATGAACTAGTCCACAGGAAATTTTCAGTAAATGTCTATTGAACAAAAGGCTAAGCAGAGGGCCTCAACGTGTGGTCTGCCGTCCCCGTGGGGGGCCTTGGTGGTCAAACCCTTTTCAGAAGAACAGTAAAACACCTGTTGCCTTCCGATGCTGTGCACTGACGGATAAAACTCTCGCCCCTGTAGAAGCCAAGTCCGTGGTGCCCACCACCCCAGCAGTTACTGTACCCTTCACCATCACACGCTCACAGGTTGCAGTAGAGAAATAAATACAAGATGCTCTTCAAACGTAGGTTTCACCGGAGAGCGCCCCAGTGACCCAAGTCGGGACGCCACGACAGGAAATGTGCCGGCTGCACGGCCAAGTGCCGCGGTCCTGCTGGGGAAAAGCACTCGGTGGCCTCGGGGTGAGGGACGGAACAGCCGTGTTATGTGCCTGTTTGGCAGACGTCCTCTCGAAAACAAAGAAAGTCAGCTCATCACTTCAAGGAAAACAACAGACAGGCCTTGACACAAAATGATCAAAATGCAAGCCTTTGGGGGCATATTCAGGTTTTAGAAAAGCTGTGTTTACTCCCTGACAGCTTTTCGATACTTAAAGACTTTCCTGATGAGGTTGGTGGGGGTGTTGACAAAGGCCACCACTGAGGTACCGCACTTACATACCTTTTATACATATATACCTTTTTTACGTATATGCTTGTTTGCATTCTTACTCATTCAACCCCTGTTCCCCTCAGCCAACATCCAACTGTCTTTTTGATGATAGTGACTGAGGTATATCTGGTGCTTGGCACATAATAGCACCTCAATAAAACTCACTGGCAAAATACACAAATGAGTGAATCAATAAATGAATTGACTGTCCTTTCTCCATCATCTTACCGCATCCTCCTTGGAAGGTTCCCCGATATCCATGTCAATCTGCCCATTACAATGGCCCAGTCCAAATGCCCATATGTATTTCACACTCCTCAGTAGCAGGCTGAAACCACAGTGGCGAGAAATAACCAAAACATGCACACACAGAGAGAGAAAGAAACGAGCACTGGTTTCCATGACATTTCACTATTTATTTAAAATGTTAGGAAAATAAATATGCCACAAAAGCCTACAAGCAATCATTAGTCAAGGATGAAAAGCCAAACTGCAAATCTGCTGAAAACCACAAACTCAACAATTGTGTTGGCTGAGTTAGAAATGACCCAGCATTAATGATAATCTCAAATGTTCCTGGATCAAGAGAGAAGAGCTGGATGGAAAATAAAGTTTAATTTTCTTAGATCCCTTTCTTCAAAGGGGAAAAAAAACCTGAAAACAAAACAAAAACCAGTATCTGTGTTCCGTGTTCAATGCCGAGGGTAATAATGAAGGTAAATAACTTCTCAGTCATTAGAGCAGAAATGGGAAGTTTTTCTTACTTCTGGCCTTGGAGCAGTGTAATAATAAAATTAAATACCCACCAGAACCTGATCTAAGCTGAGAATCATAAACTGGACAGTTAGTCTATCAAAGAGGGAACTTCTCATAAGAAGGCAGAATCCTCCCAGGGACATTTGCATGGAATGAAAGGTCCATCAACATTGGGATGAATTATGTTGCTCATTAGTGAAAGCAAGGCAATCACACAGGCAGAAGCGTGGCTCTGAAGTGAACGGCACCGGGGCACTTGGAGGCCTGGGGCACCAGGGCAAAACGAAGGCAGACCAGGGATGGGCACAGTTTACATCTCGGTCGCTCCACATTGGCCTCTGAGAGCACAAGGAGCAACAGGGTAATGGAATTGCTACAGCCATTTGTCAAGGGGCTGAACATGAAAGCCTAGTTTACAAAGACTACTTACAATAAAGCTAATATGATTTATACTTTCCCAACAAGACAAGGCAGGCCAGAGTGGAAAGCGTATTCCCAGGACACACAAGTGCTTACGAAAGACATAATTTTAGCTGGGATGTCATCTTTTTGAAGAATTTCCAGGCTTCACCCCAACGGTTGGCCAATCATTGCTTCCCTAAAATTTGAGATGATTAAGAGAAATTTAATGAATTTAAGGGAGGCGGTAGGAAAGATTTCTATGAAACAATCTCCAGATTCTGCGGCAGAGCTATCTATGTCTTGTAAAATGTCTCCCCAGGGGAGAGGCAAAGAAAAGAATGGAAATGTGTATAATGAGCATTTAGAAAATGTCAAAGATTGTGCTTGGTGTTGGGGACCCAGAAATGACAGGAACAGTCCATCTGCTCAAGTAGTTTAGAGCAGTCTAGTAGAGAGATGAAGTTATTGGGTTGTTTTGTTTTTTTTTTAGTCAGAAATAGCACGCTTGTGCTGTGAGTTCGATACAGCAGGGTTGCTCTAATTCACAGCGGGAGGTCAGGGGCGGGGAGAACAGGAGAGGCAGGCGTGAAGGCCGGGGCTGTAAGAGAAGAACTCCATACCCGCCACCGTTCCAGACAACCCGCTGCTTCTCACAGGCTCCTCCTGCCAGGGCATCGCCCCAAGGTGTCCCAACAGACACCTACAAGCCATTCTTGGTCCCCACCCCTCCCTCACAAACCCCAGCTGTCCTGCCCCAGAACTGGCCGACTGGTCTCCAATTGAAGGGCCCCATAATCATGCTCCCATCATAAAACCTCTACTCAAACAGTCTCTTGGAGGACAAGAGAATAAACTGATCTTTCAAAACCTTTTGGAAAGCAATTGGACGATAAATACCAAAAGGTTTCAAACTACTCATACCCTTGGGCCCAGTCATTTGTTTGGGGGACTATATCCTTGGCACAGAACTGAAGATATGAAAGGTGCTTTAGAACAAAAATGTCCAGAGTGTTGTTTATAACAGAAAAGTTGTGGCAATGATCCGACCATCTAACAAAAGAGGGTAATTCAGCATCATTTTGGTATAAAGAGTTTATAATAATAGGAGAAAGTATGTTAGTTATAATATCGAGAGAAAAACCAGGATACAAAATGGTAGCATATGATCCCATTTTTAAACATATACACAAAAAGACTAGACAATACATCAAAAATGTATTGCCTTTGAAAAGAGGGAATAAGATTACACTGGATTTTTTTTTCTTCTTGTGACTCTTTCTTGGTTCCCAATTTTTCTATAATAAATACAAACAGCTTAAATGTTAACATGTTTAAAATTCAAACACTGACTATAAAATTCCCTAAGTCACCACCCGCAATCCTAGTCTCCTCTATGTGATGATACAGTTAACGTTCAACCGACCACACTTCTACACCTACTTCTAGGCATCCATGTAGACGGACCTGTCGAATATATAGTGCTACTCTGGGCGTGTCAGGAGGCTACGGTCCATCAGGGGAAAGAAAGAAGGTAACACTGAGAATGTAGAGGAGGGTAGCAGGCAAACTAATGGGGACAGCAAGCACGGGGAGTCACTTGTGAAAGGATGCTGAGACCACAGACAGAAGGTCCTGGGACCAGACAGAGGGCAGCCTCGTTGGACAGCAGGGAGAAGTTCTGATTGGCTGGAGCGTAGGGGGCCTCAGGAGAGCAGCAGGAAATGGTCAGAGCGGTGGCTCGAGGCTGGTGGGTCTCCCAGGCCAATACTTGACCTTCATCCTATAAGCAGTGAAGAGCCACAGAGAGGTTTATTTCATTATATTTTTTTAAATAATCTTTTAAGCTGCTGCTTTTAAAAAGCAAGATGAATGAGAGCCCTGGCCAGCGTGGTTCAGTCGGATGGAGCATCGTCCTGTAATCAAAAGGTCGCTGGTTTGATTCCTGATCGGGGCACATGCCCAGGTTGTGGACTCGATCCCCAGTTGGGACGCATGTAGGAGACAGCTGGTCAGTGTTGGTTTTTCTCTCTCTCTTCCTCCCCCCGCCTCTAATGAAAGTAAAATAAACCTCTGGATGATTAAAAAGGAGAAGAGGGAGAGCTGACAGTATTACTGAGTATCAGGCACTATGCCCAGCACTTTGCACGCATTCCCTCGCAATGAGCCTATGAGGTGGGTTTTATTACCATACCTCACTTTATAGATGGGAAAACTGAGACTCAGAGAGTTTAAACAGCTTGGCCAAGATGTGATAGCCAGGAAGTGGAGAGCTGAGGTTCAGACCCGACCATCTGCTGCCTTGATCTTAACCACTCTCCTATGTTGTTTTTGTGACGATTATACACATGCTTATTCAAAATAAGAATGGATCCCTGACCGGTGTGGCTCCATTGGTTGGGTGCCACCCGACAAAGCAAAAGGTCACCTGTTCGCTTCCCAATCAGGACGCGTGCCTGCCTGGCAGCTTCGGTCCCGGTCGGGTACACACGAGAGCCAGCAGATTGCCACGTCGCTCTCACGGATGTTTCTCTCCCTCTCTTCCCCCCTCCCTTCCCTCCTCTCTAAAAATAAATGCAATCTTTTTCAAATAATAAATAAATAAAAATGGAGTATACTGGGTTGAACAGTGTCCGCCTAAAATTCATGTCTAAGACTGTACTTTCAGGGATCATTCCTACAGTTTGTTACTAAAATTCATGTCTACCGAGACCCTGTGAACAGGACCTTGCTCACAAGTTAAGATGAGCTCACACTGGATTAGGACGGGACCTAAAGCCGCGGATGCCGTCCTTAGAAGGAAATGCGGACACAGGGACTCACAGGGAAGAAGGCCATGTAAAGACAGCAGCAGAGACTGGAGCGATGCAGCTACAAGCCAAGAAATGGTCAAGATTTCCCCTCCCTCGGAGGCCCCGGAAGGAACCGATCTTGCCACCTCTTTGATTTCAAACCTCTAGCATCCCAAACTGTGCGAGAATAAATTTCTGTTGTTCCAAGCACACTAGCTTGTGGCATTCTGTTACGGCAGCCTCAGGAAACCAACACACCGAGTAACGGCACAACACAGGAGGATCCAAGTATGAATTCACCCCACATCTCATCATGGAGAACGTACGGTCATTATCATGGGAGTGGCTCCAGGCACCTTGGCGGTCTGGCAATTTGGCAATTGAGCAGTGCCCTTGTCTCATCATCAACCCCAGTGAATTGCACACATGTGCGAGGACCTGCATCAACAACAGAAATGACTGAGATGGCCGTTGTTCCAGGAAGAACCGAATAAACTGAGTTGTAATAGGTCTTGGTCTGCTGGTGCTGCTGTAACAAAATGCCACAGACTGGGAGGCTTGGAAATAACAGAAATGCATTTCTCCCAGTCCTGGAGGCGGACGTCTGAGATCAGGGTGCCAGCACGGCCGGGCGAGGGCCCGCTTTTGGGTCGTAGACCTCTCGTGTGTCCTCACATGGCGGAGGGGGAGAAGGATCTCGGTGGAGCCGCTTTTATTAAGAGCACCAATCCCATTTGCTGGGAGCTCTGCCCTCCCGACCTCTCACCTCCCAAAGGCCCCACCCCCTAAAACCATCACCTGGTGAATTAGGATTTCCACATACAAACTGCAGGGAGGTGAGGAGATGCAAATATGCCATTGATGCCATAATAGGTGTGTACTGTGCTCCAGTTAAAAATGAGCTGGAATGAAACACACTGTTGCATGAGAAAAAGCAAGTTGCAGTGGGGACAGAGAGAGTGGACAGACCTCCAGGCCCTGTAGGCCACTGTAGGACTGCGGATTTTATTTGGAGTAAGACGGGAAGTCACTGGAAGGGTTGGCACAGGGGGCGGGGCCTCTAGTGCACATGGTTAAGAACAGCCTCCATCTGCTCTGTCTTGTGAGGATCCAAAGAGAAAGCAGGAGACGGGGTAAGACAGGACTGCTCAGTCCACTCGGGGGATTCTGGTGGTGGCAGTGGAGGATGAGAGGGGGTCCAGGCCTGGATTTGGGGTCCACCAACCAGAAGGAGGAGGCACACCTAGCGCCACGTGGCAGGCAAGGGCAGCAGCTGTTGTGAGGGCACAGTCAGGAATCCCACTGGGGGATGTCAGGCCCGAAATGCCTGTTAAACGTCCCAGTGCAAACTGTCCACTGGGCAGTTGCAACAGGGGTCTGGAGCTCACGGGAGAGGTCAGGCTGGAGACAGGAGTGTGCGACCATCAGCACAGAGGTGACGCGTAAACTCTCGGGACTAGACAAGGCAGAGGACAGAGCTCTGGGACCCTAGACATTTAAAGGACTGTCAGGGGCTAAGAATCTAGCAAAAGAGACAGAGCAGCGGAAACCACAAAGCAGGAGGAGAAGCAGGGGGCGGGCACAGGAAGGGAGAGACCGATCGTGTCAAAACAAAGCAGCCCAGGGCCGGCTCCTGGTCCCCAGGCGCTGCAGCAACAGAGGCCAAGAGGCGCCTCGGCAGTGGCCTCGGTCAGCACTCCCTAACCTTTGATGTGCGCCCAGGTCACGGGGGGCTTGTGGACGGGCAGCGTCACCTTCGGGAGCTGTGGGGAGAAGCCTGGGGCTCCAAGAGCCTGGAGGCTGGTCTGGGACCACATTTCCATCACAAGGGTTTAGACCCAAACCCCCAAAAATCAACATGCGCACAGTCGTGAGTGAGGACATGTCCAGGGAGAGCTCCGAACGTGTGTCCCGCCTTCTTCCCTCTAAATACGAACCCAGCCCTTCTTTCCTCCCAGCCCCATCTTCACCAGTGTTTCCCCAGGGGACTGTCCCCCTCCGTCATGCTCTTGAGGCTTCCTTATACCCAGAGCGCTCCGCAGTGTCTTCAGGAGTAGTGAGTAGCGAGAGTGAGTCCTAAAGGAGAACCTAAAGCCACCTGACCTGAAACCTAGATGTCCCAGATGGGATGTTCCAATGGAATCCATCCCGTTCCGCTGGGAGTGCCCGCCCCACTCCCCCGCTGCCTAGACCCCTGCTCCCCCGCATCGCTGAAGGTTTGGGGCCATGTTTCTCCAGAATCCATCTCACAGCCCATCTCCCCACCACCGCAGCTTCCAGATTCGAGTGATTTCCTTCATCGTTGGTCAGCCACCTTCACCCCACACACCTGCCATCCCTCATTCCTCCAAAGAACGGCTAACACAAGGTTGCCGCGTCTAGCAGATGTTTTCTAAGGTTTGGAGACTGCAGAGGATAGTAGCAGCCCAAAGCAGGAAACAACTTCAAACCCAATGTCAGGCGTTGCCATAAAATAACTGTATCTTCTACTTCCTACCACAGGGAACGCCTCCCCCTGTTCTGCCACCTGTCCCCCACCTCTGACCCCCGTCACATCCCCCACCACTGCACCTTTCTTCCTCTTCCTCCCCAGATGCTTTCATAGCTCCAAAACCCCTCCTGCTTTCTTCCCCAGAGTATGTCTCCCTCTTGGTTTCTCTCCCACCCCTGCTGGGGCCTTACCTTCCACCAGCAAGGTGCCAACAAGGCACTCACACTCCTCTGGGTACAAGCCGGCCCTCCCCAAATGCAGGGCACATCAGCAATCTTTCCAATAGCGTTCTGTCCCTCCCACCGCACAGTCAGAAAGGAACACTTGTTGCAAGAAATCAGCAAAATACATCCAACTCCCTAGCCCCGAACCTGCTTCCAAAAAGCCCATAATTCCACAGAAGCCAACATCTGCTAATATTTAAGCCAAGTGTCAAAATGAGAAACGTTGCTTAATAGATACACTTGGGGAGAGACCACTGCAAATCTTCATGCTTGTTTTCTTTCTGAATTCTTAATATACCCCCAAAGCATCATTCATCCCCCCCCCATCCATGGCCCTCCCTCTCAAACAGGGTTTTGTTTTGCACAGGCCCTCCGAGGGGAAAAAGCAAAATGAAAGAGCCAAACTCAGTCACCTCTCGGTAATTCCAAGTTGGTAATGAGCACGCCAGCCTCTGGGCTCCACTCCCGAGGGCACCCGCGGTCCCCCGACATCACACTCCCTCTGCTTATTTGTCCCAGCCCACATGTCTGTCTCCTGGGTACCACGGCGGGGAGGTGCGACAGCGTGTCCAAAAATGTCGCTTTCCATTTACCGTGTGTGGGTATCTGAAGGCCAGCATTTCGGAGGCCGCGCCCCGTAAACCAGCTCTCATCACATCACTCCCTGCTTAAAGCCCCGTGGCAGCTCTGCTCTGACGGCTGGCCGGGGCCTTCCAACCTATGAAGGGGCCTTGGGTGGCCACCGCATACAGCCCGGACACTCCAGCCAAGGTCGAAAGTGGAAGACAAGGAGCTCAGGGGCTGGCAGGTAGAAGTGCTTCACGGGCTCACGTGCTACAGCCCAGGGACCGAGGAGCCAGGGGTCTGGCGCCCCCTGATTCATGGAAACGGTGCCTTCCCCCCTCTACCAGTGAGAGCCCCCAGCGACCCCGGCGCCAGGTGTGCTGCCCACACCCATGCCCACGCCCCCAAACCCTCTTCCCCCATGTTTGACCCCACACTCTTTGGGTTCCCCCTAAACCTCCCCGAATTCTATCACAGCTCCTCCAGGCTCCTCTGCCTCTGCCCACCTCTGAGCGTGGGTGGCCCTAGACTTCAATCCAGAGCTTCTTCTCTTCTCACCGCCCCCCAGACCATCTGCGTAAAGTCCCAATCCGCACTCCCCTCCCCCACCCCACTTAAAAAATCCTTCAACTGTCCTCTACTGAGCGAGCACAAGACAAAGTCCAACGGACTCCGATCCTTCTTGCCCTTGCCCCTGCCCACCTCCCAGGGCCCCTCCTCCCTGAGTTTACACCTTCTGCGCCCCCTCTGATTTCTTCTACGGAAAGAAACAAAGCCACGCCCACCCGCTGCAGCCAGAAGGCCCAGACTGGTTTCTAAACCACACCGTTCAGCAAGCGGCCATTTGCTCCGTTCTTTGTTCCTGCCACCAAACTCCGAGCAGAAACCCAGGCAGCTCCCTGCAGCCTCTGCACCACGTGGGGACCCTGGTACTTAACACTCGACGGAGTAGTCGCTGTTCGCTGAGAACCGTTCCAAGTGCCTTCCTGTGAATTACTTTATATTAACCTCGTAAAGCAGTTGTGGTACCTTGTTACTTGCCATGATTATTATGTTAGTACAATAACGTAAGTAATAGTATTTGTGATTACCCCCACTGTATCGATGAGGGTCCTGAGATGCAGAAAGGTGAGGGAACATCTCCGAGGTCACACAGTTACAAAGGGGAGGGGGAGGGGTTCACACCCAGGCAGTCCGCATTCTTCATCACTGTGTGCGATACACCACCTTAATAAAAGCCTTTTAAGTGAGCTGATCAAATTATCCACTCGATTCTTCAGGGAGTGAACGTAAATGCTGTTACAGATCCCTCTAGACCTTGACGTGGAGACACATAAGAGGGTGAACTTGGAGCCCAGCGGAAGGGGGCGCAGGGTGAGAGGCCAGCCCAGGCGCAGACGTGGCTTCCCAGACATGCGCACTTCACCTGGGTCACTGAGACTCCCCTCCGCTGGGCAGGACACAAATAACAGGAATGTCATTATTCCTGTGACAAGAAGGGAGGACAAGCCAGGCCAGAACTGGCCTGGAGCCAGTGTGGCAAGTTCTAGTACCACTCATCAGGAATCACAAGATGGAGACAGGCGATGGCCTGCAGACACCACAAACCCAAAGGGCAGAGGTGAGGCCAAAGGGCAGAGGTGAGGCCAAAGACCAAAATCGGAGGCACAAGGTAAGGACAGGGCCCCACAGGCCGCTGGAGCAAAGATTCTGCCCGCCCAGAAAGGGTGTCATTGAGCAAGGACGCTGGTTCAGCCTGCCCAGCACCCAGGGGGAAGACGTAGAAGGTGGGCTTGGCACCAGCTACAGGGCATGGCTGCCCATCTCCCTGTGCAGGGGTGCCAGCCAGCAGCCGACTCAGAGTCCCAGGGCCGCACCTTGAGCCCCATTGCCTGCATTCTAAATACTGTGTGAGCAGTAGGTGAAGGATCCTGCCCTTCCAGAGGAGCTGAGGCATCTGTGAGAGGTGGAGGTCACCTTACGCCTGAGTCTCTAACAGAACCTCCATCCTGCAGCCCCCACTGGGCTGGGACCAGCGCACAGTGTGCTTTCCTCTGGAAGGAATGTCGCGTGATCGCACTTCCCCTTCAAAAAGCCCGAGCCCAGCACTCACCCGCATGGGCTCGTCGGGGAACCCAGGTTTGCTTGGCCTGTCCCTGTCCTGGCGCCTGGACCGCAGAAGCTGTTTGGCCTCCTTTTCCGTCACAATCGGGGAGGCCCCTGAAAAAGTCAGGACGGGGCCTTAGGGACGCTGGGGGCACATGAGTTCACAGTGCAAGGCGAATGATTAGCAAGTTCAGTTTCAGATCAAACACAAAAGTTCTTTCACGGGGACCTGTCCCAGAGGATTGTGGCATTCCAGATGGCTCGGGGAGGAATTCTGAATGGTTTCTAATACCGTTTCCTGGGGACCAGCCGCATGGCTTAAACGTATGCACCCATCGCAACGGCCCCTCCTCTAGAAGTGGGTGTTCATTCACTGGTTTTTAAATCCCATTTTCTTCAGTTCTCTGGTTGGTGTGTTTCCCATCGCTTAGGTTTGCTTTGCTTTGTGGGACCTTTTTAAATCCCAGCACGTTAGATCAAGTTACAGTTGTCATTGGAAGACCCTCCGTGACAACCAGATTATGTTAAACTTGATCATCGCGCATGGTCCCTCAAAAGAGATATTGTGATGATAACATTATATTAAGTTTTGATAATCACACACAAACTCTAAAAGATATCATCAAACATGTCTACCAAACGTTGGAAATTTCATATGAACTCTAAAACAATGCCCAGTTAAAGATTTCTCAGCATTTTTGAGAGTCAGTGTTCATACACATTGAAATATTTTTAAAAAGACTATTTTCCCTAATGATGGCAATTCTAGGTGTCTGCTCTAAGCAAAAAATATTGAATTATTATACATTATTCATTTATATATACTTACACAAATAACATGCATCCTATTTGAAATGGAAAAAAAAACACCTTAAAAGCATGAAATAGACTTATTTCAGTTTACCGTGTGAACATAGAAATACGTTTCTGGAGCCCACGCTCACCTGAGGGGAAAGCCAGCAAGGCGAGAGAGAGCGTAAGCACAAGCAACATCTTCATCCTGCCTCGGTCCCCCTCTCCGCCTGCCGCCTGCCGCGGAATGGGTCGCCCCCTCGGGGAGCCAGCCTACTTGAAGGAAGCGGAGTCCAGCCAGAGGCTTGTTTGTGCTCTGACAGCACTTACCATGTGACGCTAAGGACATCTGACGCTGCGTTTTTAATACGACCACGAAAACATTTTCCTCTGAATTCCTGTAAATGTTCATCCTGGGGCAGGAAGCTGTCCCTCTGTTACGACTTTCAGAGCTTGAATCTGAGAAAGCGACAGGTGACATCCACGTCACTTAAACAGATAAATACACACATCGTCATCCAGAAGTTCGAGGTTTCATCGGCAGCTTCAGTGTAGCACCCACTGTTTCACTGCAAATTAGTCATCTCTTAACGACTGCCTATGTTATGACATTCTCCCAAAGCCCATTCGCCCATCTAATTTGACTTTCTCAATAAATTCAGAGGCAGGCAGGAAACTAGCAAGGGGCATAAAGAGGACGAAAAAATATTTTTAGCTGACTTTGAAGCCAGAAAAGAGGTGAGGCCCGGGTTCCTATCCTGGCCTGGCCTCTTGCTAGCAACATAACCTTCGGTGAGTCACTTCCCTTTTCCAAACTTCCGTTTCCTGTAAAAAAGGAGGTAACAGCACCTATCCTGTGGGGTGTGATTTGAGTGAGGGATGAGGGATGAACCACACGGCAGCTAGTACTGCCCACCTTTCTCCACCTCTGCTTCACAAATAAGAAGGTGAGATTCAGACAGGCCAAACCACATCCAAGGTCACACACTATGGATGCCGAAGCAGAGCCAAGTTCTGTGTCTCTGAAGCCCAGTGGCCTGCCTGTGAAGCCCCCAAAGCATCTGGTGCAATGGGCTGTCGGTAGACTGTACGCAGCCTTACTCCACACTCATTATTGTTACAAAGGATAAGATCTCAGTGAGCCAAAGTCCTTCTACACTTACATCACCTACCAATGTCACACAAAAGATTGTTAAATAAATGTATTATAAAAATATGCCTGGAAGGTATGTGGCTTTTTCTCTGGGATAAAATTCCCAGTTCAGAGACATAATCTGATGTTTCTGGGGTTCCTTTGCCGGCTCAAAAGAAAACAACGCCCTGCCTACCGTTGTCTGAGTTCATGCTAATGCTGTGTAACCGACACGAAACCTAAACATTCTGCTCGTGCTGCTGGGGTGACGATAGTCTGAAGGGCTTGCAAGCAAGGAAAAAACCCAGGCGCTGTTAGCAAAGTTGCCTCATGTGTTCGTTTGCCAAAATTAGACGTTTGGTTTTATGTATTCTGTCGCTGGTAACATCCTTCTGTGTTTATAAAGTTTTCGGTAACTGGAGCTTTAGGGGTATTATTTTAAAAACATGTATTTGTCACATGAAACGTGCTGGTTTTTTCAGATGCATTGCCAATGTGTTAGCTTCTTTTCCTCTTTGTGATTGGATCAGACACTGACTGTATTCTTTTGTTATATTGAATAAACATCTTCTGTGGACCAGAAAAAAACTTGGACCTAGCTACAAGTTTCTAGCATCCAATGGAATTTTACTCTATTTTTTAAGTCAGTAACTTTTGTCTACAGCGATGCTTTCAATAAAAACACAATGCAAGTCGTAGATGCAAAGCCACATGTGTAGTTCACATTGTTCTAGTAGCCACATTTTTAAAAATTAAAAATCATCAGGTGAAACTTTGTGATATTTTACTTCATGTGAAATATCCAAATATTATCATTTCAACATGTAACTAAGATAAACAAATTATTAATGAGATGTTTTACATTATTTTTTTTGTACCAAATCGTCAAAGTCCTGTGTGTATTTTACACTTACATTTCAAGGGCTCGATAGCCACACATGGCTTGTCAGCCACACTGACCAGCATTGGGTCTAGATCCTCCTGTGACTTCTGTCACCTCCCCTGTCCAGGCTGCTGTCACCTCTCACCCAGGCTCCCGAATGGCCTCCCGGCTTCCCTCCCTGTTCACTTCAGTCCATTCTCCATGCAACAGCAATGACGATCGTCTGAAACAGAAATGTAATATATAAACTGGGCCACGTCCTTTATCTGTGTAAGAATCCTCCTTCACCTTGTCACCTGTCTGAGCGTGTGTTCACTGTGCTGTACACGGGAAATGAATACCAAGAAAGCGTGAAATGCAAACTATAAGTGAAAAATAAAATAAAATAAAAATTTTTAATTTAATTATTTTTCAAGTAGTTTTCTCTTTTACTTCCATCCCAGCATACCCCCCTGTGCCCCCCACCTCCCTCCCATTTCCACCCCCCTTTAGCTGTTGTCCATGTGTCCTTTATACTAGCTCCTCTAAATCCCTCCCCTTTTTCCCCTGAAATTCCCTCCCCTCTTCCCTCTGGTCACTGTCCCCCTGTTTTCTATTTCAGTGTCTTTGTTTTTATTCTGCTTGCTTGTTTGTTTTTTTGTTTAGCTTCCTGTTAAAGGTGAGATCATATGGTATTTGTCTTTTAACACCTGGCTTATTTCACTCAGCATAATGCTTTCCAGTTCCATCCATGCTGTTGCAAAGGGTAGGAGCTCCTTCTTTCTTTCTGCTGCATAGAATTCCATTGTGTATATGTACCATAAAATAAAATTTTTTAAAGAAAAAGAAAAAGAAATCTGACATGTTTAAAAAATAATGAAATAAAAGTCAAAAATGGTTTGTTTTTTGAGTTTTCCATCTAGTATTTTTAGACCGTTACTGAGCACGGTGACAAACTGGGGAAAGCCAAACTGCCAATAAGGGGACGATGCTGTGCTAATTTGGGGGTGAACCTAATGAGGGCTACATTGACCAAGTGTAGTCAAATGTACAAAAGATGTTATTTTGTGCTGAAGTTTGAAATGCCTTATTTATCAGAATGAGGCTTACTGGTCTCCTTTGAATATTACCCTTATTTGCTGTTGTGGAATAAAAACCATTTTGAACAGAAAAAAACGGGAATACTTCTTTATTTTCTCACTGGACTTGGAAAAAACTCAGAACTCTTACCGTGCACTACAGGACTCTGTACTGAAAGAGACTTTGCCTGGGGCGACGGACACATGATGCTGTGTGCAGATGATGTTTCATTGAGTTGTCCACTTGAAACTATGGTTTTGTGAACCGATGTCACCCCGATACATTCAGTTTAAAAAAGCCCGTGTTCCCTGTGCTCCTGCTGTCCTGTGCAACCCCACTGGGACCACTCCCCTCAGCTCACTCCAACCTAACCACACTTCGTTTGCTTCCCACTTTACAAGCTCTTTCCACCTCAGGACCTTTGCACATTCTCTCCCTCTTTCAATGACTGGGTCCTTCTCATCCTTCAGGTTTCAATAGGAAGGTTCTCTTGCTCAGACAAGCCTGTCTTTACCAGTCTACTTGAGGAAGGTTCCCTGCCCCCACCACCATTACTGTCCCTCTCACAGCACTCACCGTAATGTGCAAATATTGTTATATGTTTACTTCTTTAAATCTGTCTCCTCCACTGGACTGTAAGCTCTAACTAAGTTTGTATTACTTTCATAATAGGAAGGAAGGGATGGAGGAAGAGATGGAGGGAAGGAGGGAGGGAGGGAGGGAGGAGGGAGGGAGGGAGGGAGGGAGGGAGGGAGGGAGGGAGAAACCTCTAGTGCACTGGAGAGACACTAGTGGAGAAAATGAGGGGCCTGCATCCTGCCTAAGGGTGCTGGTTCGAGGTTTCAGATGGAAAGAGCCCTTCAGGTATGATACTGGCATGGCCATTCAAAAGTCCTTTGGCTGGGTCCCAGAGGATATTGTCCCAAAAGGGGAGACTATAGGAAAACTGCAGAAGCAAAGTCATTGTCGTGAGTGTCACTCTGGTGGGGAGAGGTCTCTTCTACCCCCTACCCTTGCTCCCAGGAAAAGCCACAGCCCTATCAGTGAGACGCGTCAGCAAGGCTCACAGAAGACGCAATGCCCAAAAAATCCGCAAGGTGGCAGGGTAAAGAGCAGAACCAGGGACGACCAAGGTCAAGGGGAAGAAACTCAAGACCACCAAGGTTAACTATTCTAGAAGTTGCCAGGAATCCACTGGACGTGGGGAAAGATGGTGTGGCAGTGCCTAAGACTGTCTTCCTATGGTTTTAACTGATTTGAAGGTCTTTAAGGGTCAGCAATGAAGCCGACATCGCCGAGTCTGCACATTGTCACACTAAATACTGTTTTAAAAGGGTAAGACATGATTTCAAACCCTGCGAGGTAAAGAAACTTCAAGGGCAAGGCAACAGTCAAATGCATCCCAAGAGACTTCTCATGTGCCCATATTCTTTAGGCCCGGAGTCTATTAAATAAGTTCTAACATCCCCTTTTGTAGTTGTTTTTATCTGTTTTTATTGTCTACCTCTCCCACTAGCCTCTAAACTCTATATTTTTACAATGCGGCACACATAATTCTTCTATAATTTTTATAATAGTAACTCCATAAACTGCATGTACATACACACACACTAACTTACAAGCATACTGGGCAGGCAGCTGTCAAATGTGGGCAGCTGTGGCCGATTGAATTCACAGCATCAGCTCTTCATCACGACATCAAGTCACCACCATGACATCCCCATGCTCTTTGCCATATAACTTGCCCCTTCGACCTTGGGCTCAACCAAGTGACTTGCTTTGGACAATGGCACGGTTGCGGACACGACACAGGGGTATGAAGTGTGTTTGCACAGTTAGATGTGCCCTCCTGCATTTCTGCCATTGCCACCAAAAGAGCCGCCCCACCACCCTAAATAACTGCTGCCCCTTCACGCTGAGGCTCCGAATGAACTCGCGTGGAGAATACCTGAGCCAGGAACTGAGTCTACACGGTGTGCCGCTTACAGTAGAGCCACTCACACCAGCCCAGCCCAGCCCCGCGGATCCCCAGCTGCCACAGCCTGAAGCAGAGCTTCCGTCCATCTGCCGACCCTGGAGATTAAAGCGCTGTTACTTTGAGTCACTGGGTCTGGGAGTGGTTTGTGGCACGGCCTTCCTCCGACGGTGGCTAACTGACAGGGGGTCTGCCGGCATGGTTAGTGTGTCCAAACCGGGGGCTATTGGGTCTAAGTTAACTACAGCAGCCAAGCGGACAGACGCTTCCTTCAAAACTGAGTAACGATCTACGTGTAGGTCGTGTGGCGTGATGGTGAAGACTGTGGGCTACCGAGTCACCCACAGACACGGGCTTGCTCGAACCCTGGCTCTGAAATGTATCACCTGCGTCACATTGGTGTAAGCTGTGACATTGGGCAAACTGTCCAAATCCCTGTTTTCTCGTTTACAAAGAAAAGAATGGTAATCATAAAGCTGAACCTCCTAAGGAATTTTGAGACTTAAAAGAGAAAGCACACATCAAGTCCGTGTCAAATGTAGTAAGGACCTAGCACTTGGAAGCCACCACTGTTGTCACTGTTACTATTATTCCTTCTCTCTGTGGTCACCCTTTTTTGTATGTGCATAGGCTCCCTTCTCAGATACACAATAGAAAGTCTGTCAATATCTTTTGAATGACCAAACGATAGATTCATCAAATACATAGTAAGATCTATGCTTTTATATGTTGCTGAAATAAAAATACATCTTTATTTGAAAAGAAAACCGAGCCCCTTCTAAATATGAGTTGATTTCCCCCTCTGGGTTCACACCCAGGTCCCTGGGTTCCCTTTCCCTTTTCATTCACTTCCCATTCTACACAAACACACAGTTTCCTGTTTGGAGCAGCAATACAATGGCAAGATGGCTTGGCCTTGCACCGGGGCCCTTCTGTCTGCAGCACGCTTCCCCAGGAGGGCTGTCGTTTCTGCTCTGGGCCAGGACATTGGCCTAAGTCTGCCCAGCAGGGAAGGAGAGCCAAGGGCATCGGGTTCCTGATGGCAGGTGCCAGACTTCTCTCCAACCCAAACAGGAACGACAGGGGCACTGGCAAAGGTGTGGGGCTGTATGTTGGTACAAATAAACACACGAGGGGAGTGGGGCATGGACGGGACACTTTGTGGAACCACCTCTAAGGCTACTGTCATGTTACATTTCCTTCAGGAAAAGGGTTGTGCCTTTAAGTGGGAGAGAAAAGCTGTAGTTCTTCAGGGGAAAAATACTGAGACGTGTTGTTTTTCTCTGTGGGATCACAGAGGAGCTGAGCTTCAGAGAGATTGAGAGACACTCCAGCAATGGTTCTCAAACCTTCAGGTGCACTGGAGTCAGCTGGGAATTCACGAGACACCAGAGAACCGTGGAAGTGGAGGACAAGGACAAAAGCAACCAAGGGAAAAAGCAAACTGGGGCCGAGGTGATGCCGGGTGAAATGGCAAATGACTGGACAACTAACCAACCACGTCCTCCAACAGAGAAGAGAAATTGTTCTGCTCTCACAAAACGTGAGCAGAATGCTATAAAAAGGAGTATTCAGAAAAGGAATCAACAAAAATGTGTTCAGAAATTTTTTATGTAATATAAAATTCAATAAAAAGATTTGAGATTAGAGCTATGAAAATTTTTTCAGAAAAATAAAGCAAAAATGAGAGCAAGAGAGATTAAAAAAAAACAGAAAAAAATTTTTAAAGAGGACATTTATCCAAATGAGTTGAAAACTTATGTCCACACAAAAATCTGCACACAGAGGTCCACAGTAGTCTTATTTACAACTGCCAGAACTTGGATGCCACCAAGATGTCCTTCGGCGGGTGAATAGATAAAGAAACAACCCAAACAATAGATTATTTAGCACTAAAAAGAAATGAGCTATCAAGCCACACACACACACACACACACACACACACGAAGCTTAAATGCATATCACTAAGTGAAAGCAGTGAACCTGAGAAGGCTACATATGGGATAGTTCCAACTATACAATATCCTGGAAAAGACGAAACAGTAAAAAGGTCAGAAGATCAGTGGTTGCCCAAGTTTAGAGGGATGGGAAGGATGCATAACTGGGGGACAGAGGATTTGGGGGGCAGTGAAACTATTCTGTACGACATTGTAATGACAGATACATGTGAGTACACATTCGTCCAAATCCATGGAGTGAACACTAATATAAACTACGGCCTTTGAGTGACAATGCTGTGTCGATGAAGGTTTATCGGTTGTGACAAATGTACCTCGGGTGCCACAGATGATACTGGGGAGGCCATGCATGCACGGGGCAAGGCACCTATTGGAACTCTGTGCTTCCCTCTGTATTTTGTTGTGGATCTAAAACTGCTGTAAAAACAAAGTCTGTTTTTTTTAAAGGGAGAAATAGAGAGCCGCATCCAGGTCTGGCATTCACACAACACAAGTGTCAAACAAGAGAACACAGACGATAGAGAAAAGCAAGTCAACAAAGTGATTCCAGAACTGGACACGACCCGAAGGGACCCAGTAAACCCGGCAAACCAGGGGAGGGCAGACTCCCACCCAGGCTCCACTCTGTGAACTTGCAGAACACTGGAGAAAAACCGAAGGTTCTACAAGCTTCCAGAAGGCAAAAGCCAGTCCTATCCAAGGGAGCAGGAATAAGAATATTCTGCAGCAACACTAAGAACAAACAGAAACAAAGCAATGCGTTCAAAGCTGTGAAGGATTTCCCCAACCTAGAATTCTACCGCACATAAACAGTCAAGTGTGGAGGGTGGAATAAAGAAATCTACAGACACGTGGGACCTCAAAATTATGCCTCCCCTGTACCCTCGCTCTAAACGTTACTGACAGATGAGCTCCACAAAAACAAGAGAATTTACCAAGAAAGGGGAAGCCACGAGACCTAGAGAAACAAGATACAAACAGGAGAGTGATGACGGAGCTTCCAGGACGACCACTGCGCTCCAACGTAGAGGGCGGGTGGTCTGGATCGGCACCGCAAGGTGCGGAAACGCTGAGCAGAGGCTGCCTGGGTCAGCCCGGGACAGTTTACACTGTGCTTGTACTTTGTTTATCTTGATGACCATTGGCTGGTAAGACTCCATTCCCCCAACCCCTGGATCAGCAGATGATACTCACTCCTCCCTGAGGGGTGTGCCATGTGGACCTCTTCCTAAGAACTTGAGGGAGGTCCTAATGAGCTTAGAAGGCAAAATAGAAAGCAACCCCTCTCCCAGCCACGGTTTTGCCTGATGTTCAAACCACAGCCCTGCCCATTTGTCCCCACTGTGATTAGCAATCTTCCCAGGACCCTGCCCACTGATTTCCCTGAAGGCTGAGATCCCGACTCTGGCCCACCCCCCACTCAGGGAGCCTTTACGCATTAGTGGCTTCGCTGCTACTTCCTGATGGGGCTGGATTTGGGTTTATTTTTTGAAGCAAAACTATATTGTTCAGGGAATACTTTCCAGGGTGGTAAAACTATCGAGAAAAGCAAGATAATGAAGGACACAAAAATGAGAATAGTAATTTCCACATGGCAGGAGGAGGGGTAGCTTTCAGATGGGCACAGGACAAGCTCCCAGTGTTTTTTTGGTTTTTTTTGGGTTTTTTTTGATAACTTACTTTTTAACAAAACAATCATTTTGCTCTCACCTAGAGAATATCATAAATTATGATATTCTTAGTGAGTGGCAATGTGATTAAATGTGCTTCACTGTTTTTGAAAACCCTGATTAGCATTCATTCAGTGATGCAGCAATTCAGAAGCCTGGTTCTGAGTTCATGTGCTCTTAGTACTTGGTTTCATGGTTCTGGTCACTAAAAAGGCACAGAAAGACACATGGATCCAAACGGAGAATAGGCATCATGGGCTCCCCTTCCGGTTCCAGCCACCAACTATGCAAAGGGTTCCCGTACAATGTGACCAGCAAATGCCCATCCTCCCTGGTGGCTGTTGGTTTTATCTTGTTCACTATTTGGAAAGAATTGCAATGTTATGTTTTCAACTCAGAGGCTCAGAACCCACAGAACTTATGCATTTAGGAAGACTTGAAGTCTGGTTAGGCAGGTGTACATATTTGCCAAAAATCATCAAATTATACCTTTAAAGTGGGTGCCCTTTAGGGTGATTTGATGCTGTTTTTCAAGGGACTGCAAAGTTCAGGCAACTTGATGGTGCCCTGATGGTTCACAGATAAGCTTCAGACAGGATGCTCCCTGGGAAATCCTGGGGAGTGGGGAGGGGGGGTGCCAAGGCTTAGGGAAAACTCAGGCAGTCATCTAGATGGTTCTCTCCTGTCTTGAGTAGAGCAGAGTGTTCCCCTTTCAGCCCAGGAGGCCTTGCAAAGCAGAGATAAGGCTGGTCTGCTGAGGGAGCCAGGAACAAACCACACCCGAGGGGCAAGTGCGGGAAGGGCCTTCAGCGTGTTGAAAGTCAGGACTTTCTGGGGCCATGGTATGTGAGTGTCTCTGTGTAGCTGTGATTTTCTGAGCAGGTTTTCCTTTGAACTGGAGCCAGCATTTGTGCAGACAGAGTGGCATCAGCTGCTTGAGATTCTTTCCCCGCTCCTCACTGGTGTACCTGGCTGTCACGCCAGGTTCTGAAGGCCCCTTCTTCCTGCGTGCTATCTCTCCCCAAAGCCAGTGTTCCTCAGGGTCCCCTGCAGCAGGCAGGACCCAGGGCACTCAGGGTCTCTGCCCAACCAACTTCCCCCTGGGCCGCCCTCCCTCCCGTCTCCTCCTCCTCCTCCTCTCCCGATGTCCAGTGAGTTAAAACCCGTGTGGTGGGCCCATGGGTGTTTACTTTATTACTTTTTTAAAACTGTGCACATGCTTTCTAAACTTGTTGTATGTATCATAAATTTCACAATTTAAACCAAAACAAGTTTTAATAAACACATAAAAGAATTACCCAGGGAAACTAAAGAAAGAGATAGATTCTTAGCTTCACTACAATTCTGATTCCAGAGACTTGGTCAAGGCCTGGTTAGATGGTGCTGCCTCGGGGGTCGAAGACCACCTTCAGGCACCTGCCTCGGTTCAGAGCATCACAGGGTTTGGCATCAGACTGACTGGGTTCAAAGCCCCGACTTAGCTGACTCCCTGCCGTGTGACATCGAGCAAGTCTTCTTCATTTGTAAAATGACGGTGATAAACTCCATACAGTGCCTAGGACCTACTGATCAGACAACACAGGTTGGCTATAATAATAATTAGTATTATTACCTTTATCGGACTAAGAGTATTTCCCCAGATGTGGTAATATCTATTAATCTGTCCCTATACTGATAAATTTTCCTGATGATTTTCACTTAGCAAAGAGAGACTATTACTGTTAAAAACTTTTCCATCAGTTTCACATTTTTTATATCCTTCGGCTAAATGAAAATCTGAGGAGAATACCATAAACACAGTAGTTACATGAAATAGCAAAATATTAGAAACAAATAGCCAACAGAGGTAAGGCTGCATATACTGTGAACTGTGGAGGCAGGAGATAGTCAGGAGGGAGGGAACTCTGGAGGAGCCCCAGGGCTAAGATAAAGGACTTCATACCAGCCAGAGACACTGTTCTAAGTCCGGTTGTTCCCGCTTTCTGGAAAGGAGCTGAATCATGGTGAATTGCAAATGCACCCACACAGAAGATGCTACAGGACCTCTGCTTCATTATAAGAGCATTATGACAAATTAATATTGTGGGGGCCCCTTCCCTGGTGGCTGACCAAGGAAAATCATGGGAGACCACAGGCGCAGTAGCTTTAAATATTATATAACTACTTCTACATGTGCAATAAACGCCCACCAAAACTAGCCAGTAAAGATCTGCCCTGTAAGAATAGAACCCCTCCAGCCCCTGAAGTCAACCTCTGCTTGGAGTTGGCCTGTTCCTGTGTCCTGTGGAGTGGACTATCGCCTAATAAATCTGCTCTCTCTCTTTCTGCTATAAACTCCGTGTGTTCGGTTTAATTCTTGGTCTGCCATCACCAACAATCTGGTTACCTCTGCCCACCTGTGACACTATCATAATGTAATATTAAGCAACCATTAAATACAAATTTTAAAAACATGTAAAAGTTATTTTAAAATGCTAAATGAAAAAATAGCCAGATAGAGACTACATCGCCCATATGACCAAAACTATGTATACAAAAAAATAAAAGTTTCCTTAGAAAACAATAAAATAGGCCAAGTGTTCAAACATAGGTTGTCTTTGAGGTGAGAGATTGATGATTGTTTTTTCTTCCTTGTTACTTTTCTGTACTATCCACATGCTCTATAACAGGATTTTTTAATCTCACTTTTTAAAACTATATTCCCTTGTTACCTTTTCAAATCTAAATTAGTTTGAGGGCTCTACCTCAACCAGGCTTTATAAAAAACACTGACATTTCCATACACAGTGCAAGCTACCAAGGCAGAAGAGAGGCTTCAGGGACCTCCTTCAATCCCCCCGTGTCACCCACCAGGACCCTGAGGCCCAGAGAGGTGAACTGACAAAGCACAAGAGGACAGAGGGCTGGGACCTGATCCCAGGCCCTACCATGCCATCTAACCTCTTCCCATTCCACCACACTTTCCCCTCGCTCTTCACAATCCAGACTGTTACACACTCTACCAGCAAAACCAGCATCACTTAGAAATGCAGGCCCTCAGGCCTCTTCCCCAAGAAAGGGAACCAGAATCTACATTTTAACAAGATTCCTGGGGCAAGTGCCTTAGAGAAAGAACAAAATAAAAGAAAGTCTCTCTTTGATAGCTTAATTTAGATTGAAGGTAACTTGGGTGACCAAGTTTAAAACAAAGTGGTCTCAGTCCCAACAACACTCCCTGGTTTTGTGACATCAAGCATGTTTCTCAACCAGTCTGTGCCTTGGTTTTCGTAATCTGTAAAGTGGGCATGATAAACTGAGCGCAGTGCCTAGCAAGTGCAGAGATGGAAGCTGGGCTTTATAAACAGACCAATAAATGCTTCTCATTTCAACAGGCCTGGCCCTCTGAGAAAGCTGGGGCTCCTTGAACAGTGTTCGGCACACAGTAAGCTTTCAATCAGTATGAATGTAATAAATAACTAGCAAGCGCTCAGGTGACATCTATCGATTTTTGATGTGGGTTGTCCCATTTTATTAGTGTACAAGAGTTTCAAAACTGCCAGTTTTCTACCTTCCAACATTCAACACTGCCAGGTCCGACATCCACCAAGCAGTGAGGAAGAAGGCAGGTTTAAGGTCATTGAAAGCTTAACTCATACTGTAAATCATTCATGCTAGAACTTTCTACCGAGCCGCAGACTTGCAGGGCTCAACCACCCATCCTCTCCAATGCCCCACCTTCTTGTTACTCTGCCCACCGGTCTCCCTAAGCCACGCCCTCGGCGACCACCGAGCCCCGCCATCTTCCTAAGGCCCCGCCCCCTAAGGCCTGTCAGCCTTCACAGCCATTTCACACCGCGGCCCTGCCCCGCCCCCGCCCAACCCCCCCCCCCCAGCCCCTGCATGAGGCCCCGCCCCCCACCCACCCAGGGTGCCTACCCACCCTCCTAAGGCCTGTGGGCTGTCTCCGAGTCTTCACTGACGTCGGCGCTCGCGGCAGGCTAGGAATCCGGCTTCTGCTCGCAGCAGCGCGCCAGGGCTGGAGGGCGGCCCGGGCCTAGCCCCCCCCCCCCAACGGGGCCTCCGCCCCCCGCGAGGTAGGGCCGCAGGGGCGGAGGCGAAGGGGTCGGGGTGCGGGGCCAGAGGGCGGTAGGGGCCGCAGGGGGCCGAGCCCAGGCGGGAGCCGAGCCAAGCCGGGAGCGGCTGGATGCGCCTGTTGGCGACCCGGCGGCCTGGAGGGGAGTGCGGGCCGTGGGATAACGGTTAAGGACGCCAGCCAAGGACGCCGGCCGGGGCGCCGTGCACCCCACGTGGCCATCGCGCCCAGAACCCCGGGCTTTCCGCAGAGGGCAGCCGGTAAATTTTTACCGCCCCCTACCCTGTGCCAGGCGAGGTGAGGAGGAGCCACAGGGCCGGAGGAGGGAGGGGACCGAGAGTGACCGCGCGGGGCACCGCCCCCTCGGCGGGCGCGACAGGTCCGCTGGCCGGGCGAACAGGAAGCTCTGGGGTTCTGCCGTGGGAAGACGGTGTGTGCGTTCCTCGCCTTAGAGAGAGCGGAGCCGCCAGGGCGCACCGCGCCCCGGGTATCCCCCGAAAGCAGGAAGGAAGGTGGGGGTGGGGCGCGGCGAGCCCGAGGTGGACCCGCCTGTGTCTCTACAGTAGGAATCGTCCTTGGAGAAGATGGAAGGGGAGAAGCGGCAGGAGCCCTACGCGGGCCTATTTGCGGACGGGCACCTGATCCTATGGACGCTGTGCTCGGTGCTGCTGCCCGTGTTCATCACCTTCTGGTGCAGCCTTCAGCGGTCGCGCCGGCAGCTGCACCGCAGGGACATCTTCCGTAAGAGCAAGCATGGGTGGCGCGACACGGACCTGTTCAGCCATCCCACCTACTGCTGCGTGTGTGGGCAGCACATCTTGCAGGGCGCCTTCTGCGATTGCTGCGGGCTGCGTGTGGACGAGGGCTGCCTCAAGAAGGCCGACAAGCGTTTCCAATGCAAGGAGATCATGCTCAAGAATGACGGCAGGGCCCTGGATGGCATGGCTCACCACTGGATCCGGGGCAACGTCCCCCTGTGCAGCTACTGTGTGGTTTGCAAGCAGCAGTGCGGCAGTCAGCCAAAGCTCTGCGATTACAGGTATGGCCTTTGTGGGTACTGATTGTCCCACAATGCACAGGAGTCACGATTTCAGGGAGTGGGTATAGAGGCCTGCTTTGATCTCAGCAAATGGCCTGAAATGCCCACTTGCAGAAAACAAGCTAATAAATATTCTTGGTATTGTACAAGCAGGGCAGCTTTGCAATAATCATATGCTGAGATGATGTAGCCGTGTTCCTCAGACAGCCTGTCCTTTTGTCTGCTGTTTTGTGGGCTTTAGCTTTCATCCAGAAGTCTCTAAGGGCTGCATACCTCATGGCCACTATATTACCGTTGAGCTCTTGGTACTATTATGTCAGTTTCATGTAAGAAAAAATGAAGTATGGACAAATTAACTTTCCCCTAGAGTCACAAAACTGATTCATCCCCAGTGCATATTGACTGAACAAGGAAAACGAGTGTCATTCTAAAGCAGCATTTGAACTACCTTTTTCAAATATAGGTATTAGTGCTATAGTGACATTTAACACTTAAAGGGATACTCCTTTTGTCAGTGGTCTTTCAGGGCATGTAGCATCTTAAATAAGTGATTTTGTGACTAAAAGCCAAGAGTATTTCAATGGCTTTTAAATACACACTGGACGACACATATTTATGTTCTTAAATATGGTCTGAAAATAGGTGATGGTTATGTTAGAGACTGGCAATAAAAGGGGGTGCTGCTTTGCAGATCAGCTTTTCTAACTCATTTTACAGTTGAAAGAACTGAATTCAATGAGAAAACAGAACAACTATCCAGGAATTCTAACCTGCTGGACAGGGTTAGGAATGCTATTGCTCCTTAGTCTTATCTCAGCCTTAAATCTGGACTTCTTCATTGTGATGCGTTTTATTTCAAGTAGAATGGCCCCTAAACATGTTTAAGAACCAAAATATAAGGCTGGCAATAGATAGCAAGTGGCTTTGTCTTTTTTTTTTTCCTTATTTTTTCTTTATTTAAAAATCCTTTTTAAAAAAATTAGTGTGAGCACTAACTCAACACCTATTTTTAAGTCTTATTTTAAATAGTTTTAACCATCAGATTTAGACTTAAAAAAAACTATCCCAAAAAATATATTTTTAATGACTACAGAGTTTTGTGACCATTTATTTTTACTTGCTCACTTATAAGTTTACATGTTGTCTTTTCAGTATCTGTGAGGGCTAGGTTACCAAGGTCTTTACATTTTATAATTCTCTCTGTAGGTGAGCTTTTAGTCTCTAAGGCTTGGGATTAGCTGGAAAGAAGACGTGGACTGAGTCCTGTTTTATCTCCTTCCCTGCTTTTGTCTGTGTAGAATTAGATGAAAATGGCTCCTATAAGTAGCTTAACTGCATTTCAAATACTCCTTCACAAATAAACATAATGCTCTGATTCTCCACCCAAAGGATCTTTCTAGAAATTTGTATCAGAGTCTCTGCTCTGCTTTAAACCCTTTGATTGCTTTCTCCACATACACTGATGGTCTTTCAGTGTAAGCTCCAAGTGCTTAACATGGTCCTACATGCTCTCTGGCCCCTGCCTGTCCTTACCAGCCACCACCTGCATTAATTTTTCATGTACACGCAACATCAGGTGGGTTGTGGTTTCCTTTTCCTTACTGACCTTTTTCGAGCCCTTTCCTCTAGAAACCTGTGCCTGATCTTCTACTCACCCCCGCCCCCCAATTTTTCCTTCTTGATGACGTAATATCCTGTTTTTCTGTAGTTCCCAAAATAAAGTCCCCGGAACCAACAGCGATAAGCAGCGTCACTTAGAAATTTGTTAGAAGTGCCCATTTTAGTGTTTTCAGATTTAGCAAACAAAATACAATAAAATAAATTTTTTTGCTACATTTGAGACCTACTTATTTATCTGAAATTCAAATTTAAGTGAGCAGCTTTTATTTTTCTTGGTAACACTAGACCCACTGAATCAGAAATTTGGGCTGAAGACCAGCAATCTTGGGTTTAACAGGCCTGCAGGTAATTCTAACGTTGAAGAACCACTGCTATGTTTGTGTAGCTTTTTAAACCTGAGCCTCTGTCCTTAATCTCGTGTCCCCTCCATGTCCCCTTGAGCACAGTGAATGTGATGGCGGAGCTCTGGTTCCTCAGTAGCGTGTTCTCACTGGTACTGCACAGTTTGTTCTGAGCATGCCAGAACCCTTCACACATGGCAGAAGTTGCCTCTGTATAATTGAGGCAAGTTTTATTATTCCCAGAAGAAAAGAGCACACTGTCCTGAAGTGGTACGGATTCTGTAATGTTCTGATTTATTTTAGTCAATAATTTTATTTAGGACTACAGTCAGCTGTGACCTTCTGCGAGAATGAAATATTTTACAAAGAGAAACAAGATAAATGTCTGCTTAGAACTTTTACACACAGACCAGGCCGTCTGTCTCGTCTCTGCCTTCCTCTGTCTCTCTCTGGGTTTCTATTGAGTGCCATGGGGCTCCTGTTCTTGGGAAGTCTGAGATTTAAATGAACTATGAAGACCATACAAGTCAGCATTTCAAAGGGTGATACCTGGTTTTAAAGTCTGCAGCCCCGTTAAACTACAGATAAGTGATAAAGACACTTAATTTATACTCAGCCGGTCATTATTAGTTTTCACATTGTAAGCATCTGTTCTGTGCCATACACTGTGCTGGATTCTTATTTTCCTGTAGATTTTTAATTAACCTTTGTTCCTTATAGTGTTCTGTGTCATTAAGAAAATGTTAGGAAATTCTGGCCAAGGTGGAAGTTTAGGTAGATATACTTTGCCTCCTTGAACAACCAGAAGAAGGACAACAACAAATTTAAAAACAAAAAACCAACAGAACTGCCAGACAGACAAACTGTATGAAAGTCTGACAACCAAGGAGTTAAAGAAGAAACATTCATCCAGACTGGTAGGGGGACAGTAACAGGCAAGTGGGTGGTGAGGACAAGCTACAAGGCAGAGGCCAGGCGGGCGAGGCAGCCACTGATGAACCGGGCAGTACCACATTCGAGTGCAGAGAAACTGGGAAGAACAACTAGGGACCAAGACAGACGGCACAACCCAGGGTTCCAGCACAGGGACATAAAGCCTTAAAACCTCTAGCTGTAAAAACCTGGGGGTGGGGGTGGGGTTGAGGCAGGAGGAGAAATTTCCAGCCTCATTGGAAAGTTTATTGGAGAGATCCACAGGGTCCTAGAATGTACACAAACCCACACACCCAGGAATCAGCACCAGAAGGGCCCAAATTGCTTGTGGGTAGCAGAGGAAGTAACTGGAAGTGGGGTGAGAGCCAAGCAAGTGGCATTGTTCCCTCTCAGACCCCTCCCCCTTACAGTCAGCACCACAATGCAGCAAAGTGGGTTGACTCACCCTGGCAAGTACCTAAGGCTCCGCCCCTTACAATGTAACGGGTGCACTGAGACAAAGAAACATGGTCCTAATGAAAGAACAGATTAAAACTCCAGAAAAAGAACCAGCCAACAGGGGAGATAGCCAACCTATCAGATGCAAAGTTCGAAACACTGGTAATCAGCATGCTCACAGAAATAGTTTAATATGGTTGCAAAATAGAGGAAGAAGTGAAGGATATAGGGAAGGAAACTGGGACTCATATCAACCATTTGGACCAGAAGGAAGAAATAAACATTCATCCAGACCAGAATGAAGAAACAAGAATTCAAAAACATGAGGAGAGGCTGAGGAACCTCTGGGACAACTTTAAACATTCCAACATCTGAATCATAGGGGTGCCAGAAGGAGACAAGGGAGGGCAAGAAATTGAAAACTTATTTGAAAAAATGATGAAGGAAAACTTCCCCAATTTGGCAGAGGAACTAAACATGCAAATCTAGAAAGCTCAGAGAGTCCCAAAGAAGTTTGACCCAAGGAGGAACACACCAAGATACATCATCATGAAATTACCCAAGATTAAAGATAAGGAGAGAATCTTAAAAGCAGCAAAAGAAAAGGAGACAGTAACCTACAAAGGAGTTCCCATCAGACTATCAGCTGATTTCTCAAAAGAAATGTTATAGGCAAGAAGGGGCTGGAAAGAAGTATTCAAAGTCATGAAACACAAGGGCCTACATCCAAGATACTCTACCCAGCAAAGCTTTCATTTAGAATGAAAGGGCAGATAAAGTGCTTCCCAGACAAGGTCAAGTTAAAGGAGTTCATCATCACCAAGCCCTTATTATATGAAATATTAAAGAGACTTATCCAACAAAAAGATGATAAATATGAACAGTAAAATGACAACAAACCCACAACTATCAACAACTGAACCTAAAAAGAACAAAAACAAACTAAGCAAATAACTAGAACAGAAACAGAATTACAGAAATGGAGATCATATGGAGGGTTATCAGTGGGGAGGGGGAGGAGGGAAAATGGAGGGAAAAGGTACAGGGAATAAGAATTATAATTGGTAGGTACAAAATAGACAGGGGGAGGTTAAGAATCATATAGGAAATGGAGAAGCCAAAGAACTTACATGTATGACCCATAGACATGAACTAAGGGGGGGAATGCTGGAGGGAGGGAGGGAGGGTGCAGGGCAGAGGAGAATAAAGGGGAAAAGAAAAAATGGGACAACTATGATAGCATAATCAATAAAATGTACTTAAACTAAAAAAGAAAAACATTTTCAAACCATATAAAAGCAAATTGCTTCACTAAGAGGAAAAAAAGATGTTGGATGTCTTTTTATTTATAAGGCCTTATCTTCAGTACATCCCTCTCCACCCTCCAGACATGCCCCACACACCGTGATTCATAAAAGAAAGCTTCTGACGCTTAGCAGGTAATTACATTGTCAGCTTTAGTCTTGGCTTTGATCTCAAATTTTATATTTCTTATTCTGTTGGTATGTGTTTATTTAATTTATTACTTATCCATAACAGAAGATAGCAAATCATCTTCTAGAACAGAACTAGGCAGACTTTTTCTGTAAAGAGCCAAAACTAAGTTATTTCAGGCTCACACACCATATAGTCTATAATAAGTTAACTCTACAAAACCAGCCGTGGACAATATATGAATGAATGGGTGTAGTTATTTTCCCATAAAGTTTATTCACAAAATCAGGCAGCAGAAGTGTAGGTCTTCACAGCATAAAAGTATTTAAATAAACCACAAAGGGAAGTATAGACCTGACTATCAAAATAAACTTAAGTACATTAAAAAGTGACTTAAAAGAAAACTATAATACTTATGTCAGGAAAGAGGTTGATATCCTACATAAATAATAAGTTTATGCATTTATTAAGATGTAGGGCATGAATCAATTCACAGAGAAGGCCAAAAAATATTCAGCTTCACCTGGTGGTCAAAGACATCCCAATGGAAACAGCAAAATACTTTTTTTGTCTATCAAATTATCAAAGAAAAAATATTAGGTCCTAATGAGCAAGTGCTACATGTAATGGACACCTTCATGCACTGTTAAGCATATTGGACAGATATATTAAGAACCCTAGGAAAATGCAATTCAGTAAATTCTAGGAGTCCAGAAAAATAGTCTCCTTTATGTTTAAGGTTGTTCATCATGTTATTTAGAAAAATAAACTATCTAAATGTTTGGGGGGGAGAAAAGGGATTCAATACTTTATGGTGTATCTGTATGACATTATTCATTCTTGCCAAACCATGGTTTTAAAAACTATTTAATGGCATAGGTCCATACTCATGATACAATGTGGGAAGAAAAAAGTGTCCAGGTATGTATATGTTATACCCCTAACCTAAAAACCAAACATTTGTGCACTGGAAAACCACGAGTAAGTTCATTAAAAAGTTAAGAGTAGCTGTCTCTGGGTGGGTTTTATTTTAGGTCTGTCTCAAGCATAAGCTGATATTATCTAATTTAAAATATGATTTAAAAATTAATGCAAGTAGTTCATGAATATAGTCTGGTTTTTAGACACTCAAGCAATTTGTAAAAGAAGTAGAAATAGTGGAAAGTGGATGGTGTCACCCCTCTGTCCCACTTTCCCTCCCAGAGGAAAGCGCTGTGAAATGATTCAGCGGACATCCTTTCAGATCATTGTCAAGGACAACGTGCTACTTCAAAGTTAACAGTACAGCGGTGGGTGGAGGTAGCACACTTCAGCCGCATAAGCAGTCTCTCCTAGTTCGAAAGCAAGGATAACGAAGGTTATCGTGCAAGTTATTTTACAGATCATGCAGATAACTCTTCTTCCAGCATTAAATAGGAATAATTGCTTGACCAGTCTGAACATCCAACCAGAAAAAATAGCCTTAAAATAGAAAGCCGAGATTGTTGATCTTTGGGGTGAAAGAGTAATTATCATCTTTGTTTTAATTCATTTAAGTGGGACCATTATTTCCAGCTGACCTGCTTCTGTCCGGGTCGTCAGAGCCGCCTCATCTGGGAGAGGATTAACTACTGGGCAGATTAATGACAAACCCAGGGCTTTCCGGCACTGCTGCCGGCTGGTTTCACCCTTGGCCCCAAAGCAGAGGCAGATCTGACTGTAAACGCCTCTGTCTGTATTTCACATGCAAGTGTATTGATTAGCTTTGTACTACCAACAAATGGACTACTTTACCGTATTTACTAGTATTCACGGATGGTTATTTAAGTGAAAATACTTTTGAATTAGACCCTGAGGACCCAGGCCAGTGGGGCATTGAAGCAGTAAAGACTTTAGGTCTTATGAACCTAATTCAGCCAAAGCACAAATAAATAATACACAGAACTATTGTTGTAGATTAGCTTTTGTTTATGTAGATTGTATCTATTGATATTTACAATGTTATAAATTAAAACAGCACTTGTTTAAATACTTGTTTGATTTTTTTAAAGATTTTCTTATTTATTTTTTAGAGAGGTGAAGGGAGGGAGAAAGAGGAAGAGAGAAACATCAATGTGTGGTTACCTCTTACACGCCCCCCCACACTGGGGACCTGGCCTGCAACCCAGGCCTTTGCACTGACTGGGAATCAAACCAGAGACCCTTCGGTTTTAGGCCAGCACTCAGTCCACAGAGCCACACCAGCCAGGGCTAAATACTTGTTTCTAAAGATTGATCATGGTGCCCTAGCTGGCATGGCTTAGTGGATTGAGCACAGGCCTATGAATCAAAGGGTTGCCAGTTCAATTCCCAGTCAGGGCACATGCCTGGGTTGCAAGCCAGGTCCCTACTAGGGGCTATGTGAGAGGCAACCACACACGGATGTTTCTCTCCCTCTCTTTCTCCTTCCCTTCCCCTCTCTCTAAAAATAAGTAAATATTTTTAAAAGAAAAAAATATTGATTATGGTAACATAAATATTGTATTTTTATCAAAATAAATGAAAATCTAATGAGAAGTGTGATGTTCACTTTACATTTTTGGTACATTTCTTTGGCTTGAAGTGAGCAAGATTCTCCTCTCTGTTTCTGCATTGAGGTTATTGACACCATGCATGTCCAACAGCTTCTGGAAACCTCCACTGTACACTTTTGAGAGAACGAGGGTAAAATAGCACCTTATTATTACTAAAATGATTTAACCTCAAAGACACTCTGAAGGGACCTTGGGGGCCCTAGGCCATAAGAACCACTGCGAACCTGCCAAGTATGGTCCAACTTTATTGCTGTTTTCTGTGTGTACATACAACTATAAATCTTTTACTTGCTGCGCTTTATGCCCAATAGTGATGAAATGACTGTTTTATTTTTTGACGAAAACGATTGGTCTGCAGATCAGTAAGACCATGGTTTGAAATTACTGTGATCTCTGCTTCTTCGTCCCTCAGGTGCATCTGGTGTCAGAAAACAGTCCATGACGAGTGCATGAAAAGTAGCTTAAGGAGTGAAAAGTGCGATTTTGGAGAATTCAGAAACCTCATCATTCCACCGAGTTATTTAACCTCCATTAATCAGATGCGTAAGGACAAAAAAACAGACTATGCAATGGTAATCAGAGTGTATTTGTTCTTATGTAATGGACTTTCCAGAAAGTTGTTTAAGTCCATTACAACCATGTGTATGTGAGTCGAATCATTATGGGAAACATAGAACCCCACCCACTTCCTAGAGATGTGCCACAGACTTGGGCTCCTGAGTTCTTTCATGTCTAGAGGGAACGTGAAAATGTCATGTTAGTGGTCTCTAAATCACTGCCTGCTTCTGGGTCGCTTCGGGAGCTTTTAAAAGTACAGGCTCCTGAATCCACCTGCATCACCGCATCTGATTTAGTGGGTAGATCCCAGGATCCATACTTTTTTAAGGTCCTCAGATAAGTCTGATGAGCAGCCAGGTTTGGGATTCATGACAATTGCCAGTGAAAAGGAAACATGGACTTTTCTCACACGTTGTTCTAGAAGAGTTTTTCCATCTGCAACTTTACATAGGGAGCCTAGAGATGCATTTACATTGCACATCACATGGCCCTGCAAACAGTGTGGAACATCGGCACTGTTGTGGCATCAAAGTGATGCCATCGGCAACACTTCGCAGAATGTTTGCGTCTGAAAATTTATGTGCATGTCTCTCTCAGTCTTTATGTAGCTCTTAAGGAATAACTATAAAAATTTGCATTTTCTACTTTAATGTGCCAAAATAGTTGAACTATTTCATTTTAAAATTCAATTGTGTCTTCTCCAATGTAGGATTTTATATCTTAAGTGGCATCTTTGTCAATATTTCTGCAAAAGAAAGAAGGGTTTTAAAAATTTTAAACATTAGGTTTAATGTTGTTGTGAAACATATTTTTAAAATGTACAGCCCCTGTGTAATGAACTATAGAAATGATCCCCGAAAGTACAGTTTTCACACAACCCGCATGTATCCAAAGTCAATCTGAGATCACCAGGGGTGAGAGTCACTGAGAAAAACCACCAAACATCTCCATTAGTGTTTGCACCCACAAGGAGAAGGGGAAAGGAAAGAAATTGTTAGGTTAGAAAAACATTAATTGCATCGGACGCTGTCTTTGCACAAATATGGATTCTTGAGTCTATTCCTGAGTGCCCCATTAAAAACAACTTGCAAATGAAAATATATTATACCACACCTAGAAAAGGGCAGTCGAGGTTGAAAGAACTTGAAATGTATTGCCCAGGAGTAATGTAATGTATATGTGATGTAATATCTGGGCAAATGTATTGCCCATAATATCTTTTATTGACTAATAAAAGATACGCTTTAGGTGTTTGAGCACAGTAGTTATATGGAAAAACAAATGAAATCATTTTTAGTTGCTTCAGAAAGCAAAACTAGAACAATGAATAAAAGTTATTGAAAGACAGATTTTTAACTCAATTTAAGTCAAAACTTTCAAATAATTTGATTTCGCAGTGGAATGGGCTGCCTTGTTAGTGAGTTCCTACTCACATGAGTATCCGAGCATGCGCTGGAGGACTTATCTAGAATGATGCAGAAGAGAATTAGGCTTTACATGGACGTTAAATTAGTTCATCTCTAAGGTCCCTTTCCATTCTTAGAATTTGTTGATTTTTATACTGTATTGATTGTACTGGGGTAGTTGTTTTCCTCTCAGCAAATTACAGGACTCTTGTTACCAAGCAATAAAAACTGTATTGCTCACCAGTTTTGCAATATTTAACTTTCATTCGCCTTGATTTTTTCAGCTAGGCTCTAAGCTTGGAAAGCAGTGGACTCCGTTAATAATCCTGGCCAACTCTCGCAGTGGAACGAACATGGGAGAAGGGCTGTTGGGAGAATTCAGGATTCTTCTAAACCCAGTCCAGGTAACTAAAGAGAAAACCTTCCTTTCTGTATTAGACTTTCCATTTTAGCTTCTCATTTTCCCTAGGTCGTAACAGTTTTTCATGCATTAAACCAGTAATTGCCTGATTATAGGACAGAGTAATGATTATAAAAGTATCAAGCCACTTGGATATATTGAGAAAGGGGAGCACATGGTGAGGATATAAAATGGTGCAGCCACATTAGATAAGTTTGGCAGTTTCTTTAAAATTAAGCCTATCTTTACCATACAACGCAGCAATCCTGTTTTCAGGAATCTCCCCGAGGGAAATGAAAACATATGCCCCACAAAGATTTTTATGCAAAGATTCATAGCAGCACTGTAGCCAAAAAGGAGAAACAACCCAACTGTCCGAGAAGCCAGATGCAAGGGGCTCATATCATATGATCTGGTTCGTGTGATCTTCCCAGAAAGGGCAGATCTGCAGACACAGAGAGTGCGCTCGGGGCCGGGAGGCTGGGAAACCGGAAGGACCAAACGTGCACACTGAGGGACCTCCCTGGGGCAACGAGAGGGCCCAGCTGGACCACACGGTGGCTGCACAACTCAGGACACGGACCAAAATCATTAATTGTTCACTTGAAATGGGTGGATTTCATTATCTGTAAATTATACTTCAATTAAAAATTCGGAATAAAAGGATCACGTCTTTAAGATTGACATTTGATGCTAGCAGCTTCTGCTCTGGAAAGCTAAACAACCCATTGTGCAACCACCAGAAAGGCAATAACTTTTCTCCTTCCAATTTGTATTTTTCCCTTTCAACACCGTACAACGTGAAATTATACAAGCAATAAAAAAGGAAAGAGGACTTCTGCCAATGGAGGTATAGGTGGAGAAGCCGTGCCTTCTCTCACAGCCAAGTTTAGAGACAACTAAATATTAGCAACAGAAAACATAGCCAGAACACAGAAAATTGAACTTTTCGGAAGTCTGTTAACAACAAATTCTTCAGCCTGACCGGTAAGGGGCGAAATCAGCAGCTGGCAGAGCAGGGTTGCACAGGAAAACTCGGTCAGACGGACTCAGGGGCGCGGAATCCAGGCACAGGGTTGGACCTAGTGAGCAAGCGACCAAGCAACCTCGGGGAAACAGCGAGGGAGCAGGGCTGTGGGTTGACTGTGGTCGGGCATTTGTGCGCGGATAGACAAGCGAGGGAGTGGACGATTGGACCGGGACCCAGTGGGTCCCCGCAGCAAGCAGCAAGCGGCAGCAGAGGGCGCAGCCATTTCCCAGCTCTGACCCCACCTCCAAATACAACGTCATAACGCAGCGACTCTGAGTGGCCCGGCCCAGGTGAACCACCTAAGGCTCTGCTCCTCACCCAGCGACACGAAACAGCAGAGGGTGCTGCCATTTCCCCGCTCTGACCACACCCCCACATACAGCATCACAACCCAGCGACCTGGGAGTCCAAGGCTCCGCTCCTCACACTTAAAGGGCACGAACAGACCAAAAATGGCTCAAGAAGATCTCAAAGCCCCAGAGCCTACAGATCTAAGCGATGAAGAAATAGCAAAACTCTCAGACGCACAGTTTAAAACACTGGTGATCAGGATCCTCACAGAACTGGTTGATTATAGCCACAAATTAGACAAATATATGAAGGCAAAACTAATTGAAATGAATGGAATTGCACAGGAAACCATTAGTGATGAAAAGGAAACTGGGACTCAAGTCAATGAAGTGGACCAGAAGAAAGCAAATAATGGCCAAACAGAAAAGAGTGAAGACACAAGAATTCAAAGAAATGAGGAGAGTCTTAGGAACCTCCAGGACATCTTTAAACGCTTCAACATCCAAATTATAGGGGTACCAGAAGGGGGAAAAGGCACAGCCACCAGTGGAAAACTTATTTGAACAAATAATAAAGGAGAATTTCCCCAATCTGGCAAAGGAAATAGACTTCCAGCAAATCCAGGAAGCTCAGAGAGTCCCAAAGAAGTTGGACCCAAGAAGGAACACACCAAGGCACATCATCATTATATTAGCCAAGATTCAAATGAAGGAGAGAATCCTAGGAGCAGCAAGAGCTAAGGGGACAGTCACCTACAAAGGAGTTCCCATCAGACTGTCAGCTGATTTCTCAAAACAGACCTTACAGGCAAGAAGGGGCTGGAAAGAAGTATTCCAAGTCATGAAATCTTAAGACCTACAACCAAGATTGCTCTATCCAGCCAAACTTTCATTTAGAATGGAAGGACAGATAAAGTGCTTCTCAGATAAGATTAAATTCAAGGAGTTCATCATCACCAAGCCCTTATTATATGAAATCTTAAAGGGACTTATCTAAGAAAAAGAAGTTAAAAAAACATGAACAGCGAAAGGACAGCAAACTCACAGTTATTAATAACCACACCTAAAACAAAAGCAAACTAAAAGGACAGCTAGATCAGGAGTGGAAAGATAGAAATGAAGATCTCAAGGAGGGTTAGCGACAGGGGAGTGGGAGGAGGAGAAGGGGGGAGAAGGTACAGAAAATAAGTAGCATAGACAGTAGATAGAAAATAGATGGGGGGCAAGAATAGTATGGGAAATATAGAATCTAAAAAACTTGAGACACATGGTCATAAACTAAAGGGGGGGTAATGGGGACGGGGAGGTAGGGTGGAAGGGAATGAAGGGGGGGAATAGAACAACTGTAATTGCATAATCAATAAAAAAAGGTAAATTTAAAAAAAAAAGGAAAGAGAAAAATCGCCTGCAATTTTCCCACAAAAAATACATCAGATACATAGATGAAGGACCCATGCCCATGGACAACAGTGCAGGGGTTGACTGTGGAAGTGGGGGTAGGCTGGGTAGAGGGGACGAGGGAGGAAAAGTTGGGACAACTGCAATAGCATAAAGCAGGGGCGTCGAACTCATTCTCACCAGGGGCCACGTCAGCCTCACAGTTGCCTTCAAAGGGCCAAATGTAATTTCAACTCCTTAACAGTAAGGAGTAGTTACATTTATACAGTCCTAAAATTATTTCAGCCCTTCAAAGGCAACCTCAAAGCTAATGTAGCCCCTGGTGAGAATGAGTTTAACACCCCTGGCATAAACAATAAAATATTTTTTTTAAAAAAGACAAAAAGAGATAAGCATGAGATCTGCCCAGTGACATAAGAGAAACCAGGGATTCATTCAATGTGAGCTACAAAACTCACAACCATAGGGGAGAAAAAATGTTTTTATCTGCCCATGTTCTTCCCATGAATTGTCTATGCTTTACATGTTAACATTACTATAACAGTAATCTGTATGGAGATTTGTATTCCATTTTCTTTACTTAAAGGTATAAGAATTTTTCCATGTTGCAATATAGTCCTCCTAATTATATATGTATTGACTGAGATAATTAATCAAATGAATATCTCATAATGTATTTACTCAGTCTACTGCTGTTGGAGGTTGAACTTGTCTCTAAGGTTGTACAGTTACTAATAACACCATACTGAACACCTTTACATGCTATTTTCATCTTTTAAAATACTCTCCTAGATGATTTACAGAATTAATAGATATGAAGGATCTTTGCATCTTTGTCAAAAGTATACTTAGCACATTCTGGCTTCGTGTGAACAGGAAGGAGGGAGTGCTGTATAACAGACAGACTGTAGGACTGCGTTTGTATGGCCACACTTAACTGTCAGTGGAGTTGTAGGCAACTTATTTAAGCTTCCTGTTCCTCAATTTCCTGGTCAATACAATGAGGCTCATTTGTGATTTCTTGGGACAGTGTCGGTATGAGCCACAATGAGTATAAAGAGTCTCGCATAATTCCACTTCTGAGTATTTACCTGAAAAAACCAAAAACACTAATTTGAAAAGACATATGCATCCATATACTCATTGCAGCATTATTTACAATAGCTAAATATGGAAGCAACCTAAGTGCTCATCAATACATAAATGAATAAAGAAGAAATGGTACATAAATACAATGGAATATGATTCGGCCATAAAAAAGAATGAAATTTTACCATTTGTGACAACATGAATGGACCTAGAGAGAATTATCCTAAGTGAAATAAGTCACAGAAAGACAAACGCCATACGATTTCACTTCTAAGTGGAATCTAAAGAACAGAATAAACAAACTAAACAGAAACAAACTCAGACAGAGAACAAACTGATGGTTGCCAGATGGGAAGTGGGTTGGACAACTGGATAAAGAAGGAGGAGGGATTAAGTACCAAGTGGTATTTACAGCATAGTCGCCGGGATATAAAGCAAGCAGAGGGAATATAGTCAATAATATTGTGATAAACGTGTGGTATCAGGTGAGTACTAATCAGGATTATCACTTTGTAAGCTATGTAAACGTCTAATGACTATATTGAAACTAATATAATAATGTATGCCAGCTATAAGTGGAAAACAAATTTTTTTAAGTAAAAAGGATGTGAAGAAAAAGAAAAGTCTGACCTGGAGCCTGGCACGTGCTGAAGATAAATGCGCTGTCCCCGTCTCGGTGCTGAGCCGCAGCGCACTCCTCCAAAGGGGACCGTGCTCACAGACGGAGGGAAGCGTGGCATAAACATCTTGTTGTTTCTCTCATGTCTAGGTTTTCGATGTCACTAAAACGCCCCCGATCAAAGCCCTGCAACTCTGTGTGCTTCTTCCTCATTACTCAGCTCGAGTCCTTGTCTGCGGAGGGGATGGCACTGTGGGCTGGGTACTGGACGCAGTTGACGAGATGAAGATCAAGGTACCAACCTCCGAGGCCTATGTTATAGGTCATAAGTTAGGGCGCTAGGTGCCTTCCACAGAAGCACTTCTCAGATAATTATATAATATTTTATTCTGTTTTTTATTGTGCAGATGAATATGAGAAGACATTTCCAATTCACATTATGATTAAGCAGTTAGCATAAACATGAGCAGGACAGCGTACAGTTGTTATATTTGTATCTGTATTGCTTTGGCCTTTCAGTTTCACCAAGTTTTATCACCCTGCGAGTAGTTGGGAGAGAAAAATCTAAGCTCTATCTTCCATGTTCTAGGGGCAGGAAAAATACATCCCACAAGTCGCCGTCCTACCTCTGGGAACGGGCAACGATCTGTCCAATACGCTGGGCTGGGGCACAGGTTACGCGGGGGAAATCCCAGTCACGCAAGTCTTACGCAATGTGATGGAAGCAGACGGAATCAAGCTGGACAGTTAAGTTACACCTCCTCCCCAAAAGTGGATTTTTGAACTTGGAGAATATGATGTTTGGTTTATAAATGAAAGACTGTGTTAGTTGCACTTAAGCATAGATGCTAGTGTTTTATTTTATTCTTATAAAAGGACTGAAATCATAATTAGGCTGAATAGTTATCTCAAAATTTGCATACTCACTTAGATGTGCTTATTTTTCAAATGCTATTATAATAGAAGGACCTTATCTCCCAGGCATCCAGAGTTGATTAGTAATAATCATAGTTAATTGGCAGTTAACCGGAAATAATCATGAATTTTTTAACTTCTGATTTTTAGATGGAAAGTCCAAGTAACAAGTAAAGGATACTACAACCTGAGAAAACCCAAGGTGTGTATTCAGGGCTTCAGCTGGGAGTGGTTTCAGCGAACACGGTTGAGTGCCTCCACTGTGCAAGCCACGGCCTGTGGCGGGCATGGGGTCATGGCACTTCCTGCCGGGCGCTGGTCGTGGAGCAGGAGAGACCCCAGGTGCTGGGGAGCTGAGCGCAACTCCTGGCTTGGACTGTGCAGAATGCTTTGGGGTAAACCAGTGCAAGGGTGCTCAGTGCTGCCTTGGTAGGTCAGGTTGAAGGGTTTCAGGGGAGGTTACATGTGAGTTGGTCCTTGTAAATACAATTTAGAGCAGCAGAGAAAGGATCAAGGCTTTCCAGGCAAGTGGCAAATAATAGAGAGAGAACAGATCTGTACTTTTAAAAAGATGCTCTGGCTCTTGCAATGTCAACGGTGCCTGTGCCGCTCACAGCTCCTCGCCTCTCCTCTCCTCTCCTGGCTAGAGCCCAGAGGCCCAGAACAAGAAGCCAGGACTGTGTTCCAATGCACACTGAGGCCCTGGATTGCCACAACCTGGCTTCCACTGCAAAGATGCAACAGAACTTTAAAGTTTCATTGTTTGGCTAGAGGACCAGAAAATCAGACATGACAAGACTGAAGACAGAGGTAATTTAAGAAACATCCATAGCGGTGACTGGCCCAAGCTCTTTGAAAAGTATCTTACAGATGTTAACTGTCCTTTCAAAGTTCAAGATCAACAAGAAGAAATTGACTAGTTTAGCTGTTAGACTAAAACCCAATAATAGAAAAAAACACCAACGATGCAGCTAAAAATGCAGAGCCGTAGATCAATTTGGATATAAATAATCCTGATTTTTAAGGCTGGTATAGTGGCCTTGACTGACCTTCAGATTCAGGCCATGATAGCTACCTGGTAATGCTTACGGTAATTCTCATCTTGGTCCAGGAGCGCCTGATACAGGATGCAGCTGCTGAAGTAAATCAAACCATAGAGAGATTGCCCACTGCTTTAGACAAGCATAGTCTTGGTTTTGACACAGGAGATGCAGTTCTTAATGAAACTGCTCAGATCCTGTGGTTGCTGCATGTAGAACTCAGAGAGCCACAGATAGAAATTAAGTGAAGCCATAGTAACTGTCCAGGCAGTGATTGCTGACCCAAAGACCGCAGCCTGAGGAAGCTGGAAGACGAACATTTCAGGATTTCAGCCTTTTACCTACTTAGTACCATGTATGCCCTGGTATGTGTTACAGAATCAAACGTCCCATTTGCAAGGGAAGAATCTCAGAAAATTGACTATGTTCTAGAGATTTACCATCATTGCTTTTCTTTAATAAATTTGGGAAAGTGAGAGGAACAAAAGATGCTCCGGAGATAGTGTGAAAACAGTGTAGAAACCTACACGAGGGCAAAACCAGGGGAATGTTTGGGCGAGGGCAGTTCAGAGACATTTTAAAGGTACAATCGATCCAGACTTGGCACCCGATTGGTATTAGGGGAAGAGAGGAAATACATACATATTACTGCCAAATTCCTAGTTTTTATGACTGCATGTATGGAAATGACATTAACTAAGATAAGAAAAATAGAGTTTCAGCCCCAGCTGGTGTGGTTCAGTGGATTGAGCGCCAACCTGCGAAGCAAAGGGTCCCAGTTTGATTCCCAGTCAGGGCACATGCCTGGGTGGTGGACCAGGTCCCCAATGCGGGGGTACATGAGAGGCAACCACAGATTGATGTTTCTCTCCCTCTCTTTCTCGCTCCCTTCCCCTTTCTCTAAAATTAAATAAATAGAATCTAAAAAAGAAAAATCAAGTTTAAGAATTGAATAGGAAGAAAACAAGTTAGATTTTGAGCATAACTTGAGGCGATGGTACATTGAACAACAAGTTGGAAATTCAGGCTTATTGCTCAGGAACGAGACAGAGCTGGATGCAGACTGAGGAATCCAGGCTGGGCTGGGAGGGTTGAGACTGAGACACACATGTAACAGGAGCACAGGAGTGCGAAGCTGGGGCACAAAGTAGAGCTGTTCCAGATGACAGGATCGGGGATGTAGCACATTGAACAGAAATGGAAAGGGAGATTCGTATCTATAACTATCAGCCTTGAACGGAAGCTTTATTTCTTAAAATGTCACTGGATAGCATAAAATAGCTCTACGTGAAGAATAGACACAGAAAGCGTTAAGTTTTCGTAAAGGACATGAAGACTAAGGTGTACATGTTGCACTCACGCACAGGCATAGACCGAAGCGTAATCTGGGGCTTGTTCTTAACCTCTTCCGCAGGAATTCACAATGAACAACTATTTTTCTGTTGGACCAGATGCCCTCATGGCTCTCAATTTTCATGCTCATCGTGAGAAGGCACCGTCTCTGTTTTCTAGCAGAATTCTTAATAAGGTGTGTTGGATAAAATAACATTTCCTGCTTATGCCAAAGGTACAGTAAAAATCAATAGTTCCATTATATCTGGCACCCTTTCAAGTAGATTCAGCTAGAACTCACTTGTGGGGACATTGACCTGCTCTGTTTTGTGTAAGACTATCCAGTTAGATCCTTAAGTGTATTTTATTAAAGTATTTTATAACTATGGCAAAGTTTTTTAAATTTAAAGTTGGAATGTTTTACAGCACATTTTGCTCAGAGGGCAACTAAGTGGAATATACAATAGTTTATCCTACTGAAATGGCAGCTGATAATGCAAAGAAATTTGAGGCAGGACACAGTTTCAATGAAGTCGTTAATGGGAAAATAAATTTCAGTGGCGTGAAAAAACTTGAAAAGGCAGGTAAGGCAAGAGAAGGGGCGGTTCGTTTACCACTGCTTTCAATCAGAAGTATCACTCTGGCTCCTTTGATTCCTTCGGTGGAAGTTTTGTTAGGAATTGTTTTTAATGACTGTTGGCAATGGAGCAATAGGATGTGAAAAGTAAATGCAAAGCAGTTTTGCTCCTGGTTCTGTTTTTCAAATACTTCAAATGTACAGGTTTTTTCTATTAATATGTATACGAATGCAATAAGTATTGCTGTTTATACAATTGGTGATTAACAACTTTCTCAGTGCTTCCATCAACCTTTTAATATTCAAGGGTAATTATGAAATGTTCATTAGACTTAGCTGTATTACTTAAGTAATCTGAAGTTCTAGAAAAAGGTGGAATTTTCTAACTTTAATATAGTATTTCTTTATAAAATGTACCTTTTTTTGACAAAGTGGGAGAAAACACCTTTTAGGCACAAACCACCCCTCTCCCTGAAAACCAGGCCAAACTCAAAGGTAATGGCGGCCCTTCCTCCCAGCAGGGCCCAGCGCTCTCTGAGGCCGTGAGCGGCCTCACGTCAGGGGCTTTGGTGCAGTGCCCTCCTCTTGCTTACAGGGCTTGTTGGACTGCTTTAATGTCGTGTTTTCTGTTCGTTTCTCATAGGCTGTTTACTTGTTCTACGGAACCAAAGACTGCTTAGTGCAAGAATGTAAAGATTTGAATAAAAAAGTTGAGGTAAGCTTTTAAAGTTTAGGTGATCTCTGGATTGTGAACATTTTTTAAGCAAAAATGTGGAATTTTCTATTAACATATTTTGCTAACATATGGAATATTTATTGTGCCTAGAGACTACTCCTGCTTCATACACAGCACCCCACCAAACTAAGTGATTTGCCCAAAGACACACATAATCAGGATTTGAACCTCTATGTCACGTCTAACACAGAGTCTGTCTAACTCTGTGATTAACAGTTTCCGTTCATAGATGATGACTGATGTGAGGTTACCTAACACAGTGCCTGACTCATGACAGACTCAAGAGGAAGTTTCAACCCAAAGTTTAATTCCTAGTATGGTGGTGATATCCCTTCTCTTACAAAACAAACATGTATGAGCAGTAAAAACAGGGTATTGATGATTGCCGATTGGTATACTATCCCTGACATCATAATACGGCAACGTCTTCTATACAAGTATATTCCTTGCTTCGCTTCCAAAAAGAATCTGTAGTGATTAATACCACCAACAAAGACATTCATGCAGAGAAACCTAGAACTAATAAAAGCAGCACAAAGGGGAGGGCTCAGCCTTGGCAGACATGGCACAGAGGGAATGGCAAGATTTTCCATTAAAAAACTTTCCTTCTGCTTTATCGCGTTTCCTTTGTCTTAGGCTTTGATAGCATTGGGGCAGCGAAGCGTGGGAAGCGGCGCTTTATTCCTTTAGTTGATATTTTATTTGTACAAAAATATCTGTGGAGCCACTTAGAAAATGCCAGACACCTAGGTACTGGGGATACAGTGACAAGGCCCTTGTTCATACTAAGTTGTAGACTAGAGAGAAGAAAGGCGTTTAAACCACATCACAATACGGTGTGAGGCGTTGTGTGATAAGGAAACCATGCTGGCTTACGGGGACAAATAAGATACATAAACCCAGGGGCTGGAGAAGGTGTCTAGGGACAGTGACTGTAACAAGGAAGTCTTTCCAGAAGTGACAAGCTGGAATCTGAAAATTAAGTGAGAGTTGGCTAAGTGAAAAAGTTGGTGAAAATTGCCCAATGGTTGATGGACTAAGAAAAAGGACGTGAATTCTAAGTGGACGTGGCTGCGAATCACATTCCCTGTAGTAACTAACTGCTTGGATTTCTTTAAAGCTAGAACTGGATGGTGAGCGAGTAGAACTGCCTAATTTGGAAGGGATTATAGTTCTGAACATTGGATACTGGGGCGGCGGCTGCAGACTGTGGGAAGGGATGGGAGACGAGACTTACCCCCTAGCCAGGTAGGTACATCTGCGATCTGCTGTTTTATGTCACTGTTTGCTGCTTTGGAGCAGTCTGTTGTGCTTCAGAGACTTCTTTTCCTCAGATTTCCTTTTTTTTTTGTATACCTCGTTAATATAAATATTTAATAAGGTGATGTCCAGCCATGTTAAAATAATTGTCCCCGTGTGGTTGATTGGATTTTACTGCATTGTACAATTCACATTTTATGCATTTCTTTTTCTAACTTCAGGCATGACGACGGTTTACTGGAGGTCGTTGGAGTGTACGGGTCCTTCCACTGCGCTCAGATCCAGGTGAAACTGGCAAACCCTTTCCGAATAGGACAAGCACACACAGTGCGGGTAGGTGGAAGGGCTCTGCCAGGCCAGGCCGCCCAGTCCATTTCTAAGCCCTTGATCGGTAGGAAAAACAGGCGCACAGTAGTTTTCCCCAAACAGTGGTTCACAACCCATGCTGTGGATCACCCTCCCCCAGGGCTGGAGTGGGATGGGGAAGAAACAGGAAGTGCGGCCCTCTGTCCAGGAGAAGAAACGAAGCGTCCAGTGGCAGAGAACCCTTCCAGGGGCGTCCAGCCCGCGGGCCGCCTGCAGCCCAGGATAGCTATGGATGCAGCCCAACACGAAGTTGTACATTTACTTCAAACCCTTCTTTTTGCTCATCGTTTTCCATTAGTGTTTATGCATTTACGTGTAGCCCAGGGATGCCAGAAGGTTGGACACCCCTCCCAGAAACAATCAAGGAATAAAAATAAATTCAGTTTAGTTTTCTCAGAATGAAATGCTAAGAAATGCCCCTGAGGAGGGTTACAAGCGGATACAGTTAGGGAAGACCTTCCTGAACGGTTTGGGACTGACTGTTCTCTGATTCTTCGTTCCCTGATCGCAGCTGATCTTGAAGTGCTCGATGATGCCCATGCAGGTGGATGGGGAGCCCTGGGCCCAAGGGCCCTGCACCGTCACCATAACTCACAAGACACACGCACTGATGTTGTATTTCTCCGGAGAACAAACGGATGATGACATCTCTAGTGCTTCAGATCAAGAGGACGTGAAGGAAACCGAGTAGCTGGATGAGGAAATGAACGCTTCTTCAAACGGAATCCGCACAAACACGTAAATGCACATTCATCCGAAAGCAGAAGCTCTCCACCGACTCTTTAGTCTGCATGTCACCAGTAGTGAAATGAACATGCATCTCTGTAAATAGCATTCCAAACACAGCCAAACATCTGTTGTTTACTAGGCCTGTTTGGGGCAGGGAGGGGTTCTTTTGGTTTTTTGTTTTTGGTTTAACAAAACACGTGGATCGTATAGTGCTCATTTTAAAAAGTCACAGAACTTTACATGGAGGTGAGATGTTGTTTCCGTGGCTTTGTGCTGGAGACCAGGCTCCCTGAAGGCAGCCCCGCACCTCCTTATTCCTGAACCGCGCGTCTGCTGAGCACGTCACACACGCGGCGAGGTGTGGGTGGAACCACTCCTATGTTCATTTTTAATGTGGTGACATCGCAACATTTAAGAAGTTAACTTGCTGCTTTGAAAGGAGATGGCTGGTTTCCAGCCAGCACGGCCAGTGCAGGGCCCTCCCGGCAGCCTCTTAAGGCTTCCTACAGCCCCGCACACGTGGGTCCATAAATAACTGATTTCCAAGGAAGCCGAAAAAGGAGAAATGTCAAAGAAAGACGATATTTAACATTTTTGTCATAGTTTTTATTTTAGGAGCAATTTCGGACTCCAAATGTTGTTTGTTTAGCCCAGGTAGCGACCATGTTGAGCTGCTGAAATTGAGCATCTTGTTTATAACGCAGAATGGCCAGAAGAGGACCACACAGGTGAACTGGTAAAGACCAACACTCAGAAGACTTTGGATTGGAAGTTATAGGTTCGAAGCCGGACAGTTAGTTCTCCAACTTTTCTTTTCATTAAAGGACAATATCAGCAATTCAAAAAATGTACTAAAGAAAGTTTACTATTCATAATAATTGTTCAAAAACAGTTCAAAAATAATTGATAAGTTTTTAAAATTCAGTGATCTTACAGTAGTTTGAATACAGTAGTCTTTCATAGCCAAAATGCTTAACAGAGCCTCCCCTTGGGGAAGTGACAGAATCCTCTGCTAAAATGTTTCTATCGTATTTATTTTAAAATGAGATATATTTTTTTACTTATTTATTTTCTTTATTGTGGCAACCTATGTTTAGTGTTTACAATATATGGCTTTATTTTAATAAGTTAAATTGATCGCATAAATTCTAGTCACAGTCAGCTAGAAATGTAGCCTATTGATTAAGTAATTAAAACCCGTAAGTTAATTCTCTGGTCAGATAGTCTCATTCTTCATAAACAAACACTCAACTAAAAGGGCAGCGGGGGCAATGGAAGTACTGGCAGACTACTTCTGGGTAACTGAAAGTTTTGTTTCATTATTTTATTTGACCCTCAATTGCCAAAAACTTACTGGGGGAGACACTGGGGCAACTGTAATAGCATAATCAATAAAATAGAATTTCAAAGCAAAATTAGTGAAGGCCTAGTCTCATAGCTGCCCATTACGGGTGCTCTACTGTTGTTAGCCCGCCTGGCTGGGCAGACTCGCTGGGCCCGCAGCCCGGCATTTCTCCGACCAGGGGCCCGCATGTGTGCTCGGGGGTCTTTCACGGCATTAGTCTCTGCAAGATTAAAACGTATCCCCCAAAACAACATTAGCCCTCCTTAAGGACCTGTTAAATGAATCTGCCATCCATGAATTGCTATGAACTTAAATTTCAGTCACCTTCCGGCCCAGGAACCACCTAGTGTCGTCAGTACATTGGATAGAATACGTTGATGTTACTTAAATTGACCTCTTCCCAGTCTCAACAGGAAGTGCCGACTTCTCAGTCGGAAAGATTTTTGTGAGCAGACCTGCTGTCGCCTTGATCACACGTACTGCGGTGATGGGAGAGTTTGGTAGATTTTCTTTCATGGGTTGATTATGTTTTGAGTACAATGAGTTTTATTCTTTAATTTGTGCTCAGAATTGTTACGGGTGTTGCCTCCTACAAATACAGGTGCACAAAAGCCGGTTTACAGTTGCAAGTGCAAAAACAGTTTATTCTTGCATTGTCATTTATTAGTCATATTTTCCATACAAACAACTGCACACCTACTTTTGCCAACCCCTGTATACTGTTAAGTTCACTGTGATTTAGACTGTATTTTATCTATTAGATCATTCTTAGTGCTAATTATAGAGTCAAAGTATAGTGTTACTTTGGGATATCAGAATTAAAATAATCACAATAACTGTAGGTTTTTTTAATTGTTAAAACTGTACTCTAATCACACAGTTACATTGGATTTAAAACAGGTTTATATATAGCCATCACTGATTGAAACAAATTGGTTCTTTTGTTTCCCATGGACCCCAACTAACGTTTATTTAGTGCATCTCACTCCAGCATCCTGAGACGTTGCGATTGTTTTATAAGCATGTTTTGGGGAATGTGTAGGTTTCCACCTGTGTTCCTTTCATTTGGGCTTCAAGCCGAATTATTTTTAGTATTTTGAGTAAGTTTCACCTGAACCTTATCAATTTTCCACTATACACTATCGCACAACAGCTTGCTTACACAGTCCCTGCTTTTCAGCCTGGGCAGTGAATTGGATTAGACAAAATTCCCCGAATCTCCTGTTGGTACGTTGGTTTTTGCTCCACGGGCATTGGGTAAGTTGCTTGTCCAACAAATTGGTTTTTCAGTTTTCATAATCCAGTGAGGTTTTTTTCCCCAACTGACTCTTCCTGAAGTTTTTCTGTTCCCTATTCACTCATTCAAAATTAATATTTATTTAGGAAAGTTATTTCACAACACCATAATTATACATCTTATTTTAGCAAAATTCATGTTTTGGGCACATATACCCAGCATTTCAAATACATGTATAGCCATGTGTTTTGTTTTATACAATTACAATTCACGAGTTATATATTAGGGTAGCAGTTGTTTATATTACTGGGGATTCTCCACTTCCCAAAAGATAATTTGCCACAAGAGTTTCCTGATCCATTTCAAACTGTCGATTTTTTCACATGATACCATCTATATCCTTAGAAGAAATACCTGAAGTGAACCATAGCCCCACGTCTGTGCTGATCCCTCATCCTCCACTGCGCCAGGTGAGACATCCTGGCCCCTGGTAAACTCAGTGGCTACAATACCGATACACGGCAGCTCTTACGGATTCCTTATATAGATATTTAATGGTGATAACTTCCGTGTTTTCTTATGTTTAATAGAAATCAGACTGACTTGTGTTTTAAAACACGGATTCTCGGCTGGTATGATTAGATGACCTTAGGTGTGTTTTAGCTTTTCAACAACAATTAACCGTGAACACTTAATGGAGTTCATGTTTATAAAAATTTTATAGTCTAAATTCTTTATCTTTTCTTTTAGATGTGTGAGACACATGATTAATGTTTCCTTTGTGAAATCCCTTTGACTGCTTAAGAGTTATAATATATACCTTGACTCTGAAATTATAAATTCCTTTTTGCACTGTAAAAATGAGTATTACCACCATGTCAAAAAATGAAAAGAGAGAACAGAAGATAGTTTCCATTTGTAATGTAAAATAAAACTGTACTTATCTATATGAAAGAATTTTAAATTGGTACTAAATAGAAAACCTTGCAGATTATGTTAATTCACAGATTTCTGTGAATTGAAACACATAACTTTATTATTGAGCTAAAAACTTCAGTAAAATGGATGACAGTTTTCTGTTCTTTCCATTAAAATTATAGTTACCCACTGAAACCAAACTTTCACAATGAGAACTGTATTCATTCTACCAACTTGGGCACAATGAGCTATAAGGTATATTTATTTCAAAAAAATTAAAATTTAAAAACAAAACATTTATTATTCCTCTAAGCCAATCTGAATGAAGGTGCTTCTCCAGAGATGAAAGAGGTTGCATACAGTTTATTTTGAAGAGTATACATCTCTTGTCTCACATATTGCCATTAATGTATATCCCATTTTCTCAAAGCCCGATCTGCAGGGTTCATGTCACAACAGGATGAACCAGCAGCAAGCCGAAAGTTCAAGCACATAGCCAGCAGCCCCTGACTTCATGTATCAGTGTCTACATGGGCCAGAAGCATCTCCAAATTCATTACTAAGCACCTGGGGTGCTTCTGATTCACATTGAAATTCTAAAGGCCATGGTCTACCACTATTTGCCAGGACTTTCTCCAGTGGACATAATGAAGAAAAGTAGAGTTAATTGGATGTGCTAAAATTGTTTTTTCTTCAATGTACTAAATGCCCTCTTCTCCACAAACCTGGTTTCAAGCAACTGTATGGAAAAACTTGCTCTTGACCTGTCCCAATTGACCTGCTTAGCTCAACTCTATCACATGAGATCGCCTGCTTCAGATTCTTTGGTTGCCACATACCAGGCTCTGAGGGGACAAGCAGTGCTCCAGGGGCTTGTGAAGAGGACAGAGCGGTGCCTCCACGCTCACTTCAGTCAGTCCATCCCATGCTGGTGCACAAAAGACCTCAGTAGATAAAATTCTTCTTTTCAAAAGAAAATGACAAAAAAGAAATTCCACTTATTGCCCAAGGGTTCGGTGGTTACCACCCGAGGGACACTCCCATGGACAATTTTCCCCTGATTTTTACATGAATTCAGAAAACTCATGTTCTTTAGTAAAAAGAGTATTATGGAGGTCTCTGTTTCTGCTTCGAAAATGGACACTTGAATACTTCCCAACCTTTCACGGCCTCTTCTAGGGCTGTACTTCTCCTCTCAGTAAGACATAGACATGGCCAAAATAAATAGCCCATTATTGTTACCCAAACGCAACCTGCATGAAGGTGATTTCTCAGCAAGGAGACCGAAAAAGTTGTTTGGTGTTTGCTTTGAAACATGTGCCCCGGCCTGTCTCACATTGCGCCTTTAAGGCCTAATCCTTCTTTCTCAGATTCTGACCTGCAAGGTGTCTGGGACATAAGAACCACTAGCAGCAAGCCGAAAATACAAACACATAACCAACAGCCTCTGACTTCATGTATCACTGTCTACATGGGCCAGAAGCATCTCCAAATTCATTTCTAAGCACCTGAGGTTGTTTCTGATTCACAATGCAATTTGTAAAGGCCATGGTCTACCACTGTTTGTCCAGGACATTCTACAGATGGACATAATACAGAAAAGTGGAGTTACTTGGATATGCTTAAAACTATTTTTTCTTCAATGTACCGAATGCCCTCCTCCACAAACCTGGTTTCAAGCAACTATATGGAAAAACTTGCTCTTGACCTATCCCAATTGACCTCTTTAGCTCAACTCTATCACATGAGATCGCCTGCTTCAGATTCTTTGGTTGCTGACTGTCACGTACCAGGCTCTGAGGGGACAAGCAGTGCTCCAGGGGCCTGTGGAGAGGACAGAGCGGCGCCTCCACACTCACTTCAGTCAGTCCGCCCCATGCTGGTGCAGAACAGACCTCAGTAGATAAAATTCTTCTTTTCAAAAAAAATGACAAAAAAGAAATTCCACTCATTCCCCAAGGATGCAGTCGGCTACCACCCGAAGGACACTGTCACATGGACGATTTATCCCTAATTTTTACATGAATTCAGAAACCTCTTGTGCTTTAGTAAAAAGAGTATTTTGGAGGTCTTAGTTGCTCCTTGGAATATGGACACTTGGCTCTTTCACAACTTTTCACGTCCTCATTTAGGGCTGTGCTTCTCCTCTCAGTAAGACATAGACATGGCCAAAGAGAAGAACCAAACATTGTTACCCCAAAGCAACCTGAATGAAGGTGATTTCTCAGCAAGGAGACCGAAAAAGTTCTTTGGGGGTTCCTTTGAAAAGTGTGCCCCTGCCTGTCTCACATTGTCCCTTTACGGCCTATCCCCTGTTTCTCAAAGTCTGACCTGCAGGCTCTCTGGGCTATCAGAACCCCTAGCAGCAAGCCAAAAGTGAGAACACATAGCCAACAGCCCCTGACTTCATGTATCAGTGTCTACATGGGCCAGAAGCATCTCCAACTTCATTTCTAAGCACCTGGGGTGCTTCTGATTCACACTGAAATTGTAAAGGCCGTGGTCTACCACTGTTTGCCCAGGACTTTCTCCAGGTGGACATAATGCAGAAAAGTGGAGTTACTTGCATATGCTTAAAACTATTTTTTCTTCAATGTACCAAATGCCCTCCTCCACAAACCTGGTTTCAAGCAACTGTATGGAAAAACTTGCTCTTGACCTGTCCCAATTGACCTCTTTAGCTCAACTCTATCACATGAGATCACCTG